CGCCACCGCGCACACCACGTGGTCGGTTTCGTGAGCCCCAAGAAAAATCACAAGACAGCTCGCCGCTTGGGCCCCAGCGCCAGCCCAAACGGCGAGCATGAATCGGGCGTAGCCCCGCACGCATTGGAATGCCCACACCTCGTCCTCGTACTACTCGTATTCCTCCCCGTCGCCCTCCCCATCCAGATCGTCGTCGTCGTCCTCCTCCTCCTCGTTCTCCTCATCTTCCTCGCCGTCCTCGTCTCCGATTGGTTGCGCTATAGGTTGCGCTTGCGCCATAGGTTGCGTTTTCGCCATAGGCTGCGTCCTCGGATGCCGAGAATCAAACCGACTCCGGCTGGTTGCGAGATTAAAACCGTCTCCTATTGGTTGCGCCACAGGTTGTGCCCTCGGCGGCCGAAAATAAAACCGTCTTCTATTGGCTGCGCCATAGAATGCGCCCTCGGCCGCCGAGAATAAAACCGTCTCCTATTGCTTGCGCCATAGGTGGTGGTCTCGGCAGCCGAGAAGAAAATCGTCTCCTATGGGCTGCGCCATAGAATGCGCCCTCGGCCGCCGAGAATAAAACCGTCTCCTATCGATTGCGCCATAAGTTGCACTCTCGTTCGCTGAGGGTAAAACCGTCTCTTATTGGTTGCACCATACGTTGCGCCCTCGGCGGCCGAACAATAATCTGTCTTCTATTGGTTGCGCCATAAATTCTCCCATCGGCCACCGAGAATAAAACCGTCTCCTAGTGGTTGCACCATACATTCTGCCTTCGGCCACCGAGAATAAAACCGTCCCCTATTGGTTGCACCAAAAATTGTGCCCTCGGCCTCCGAAACATAAAACCGTTTCCTATTGGTTGCGCCATAGATTGCGTTCTCGGCCGCCGAGAATAAAACCGTCTCCTATCGATTGCGCCATAGTTGCACCCTCGTTCGCTGAGAGTAAAACCGTCTCTTATTGGTTGCGCCATACGTTGCGCCCTCGGCGGCCGAAAAATAAAACCGTCTTCTATTGGTTGCACCATAAGTTCTCCCATCGGCCGCCGAGAATAAAACCGTCTCCTCTTGGTTGCGCCATAACTTGCGCCCTCGGCCGCCGAGAATAAAACCGTCGCGTAACGGGTGCGACCAGTAAGTGGTCAGTCAGTCAGTCAGCCAGTCAGTCAGTCAGTCAGTCAGTCAGCTGGTCAGCGGGTCAGCCAGTCAGTCGGAGTTTACTTCACGAGAAACAAATTCGGGCTACGCCCGAAATTATAGCCAGATCCTGGTATTCCCAACTGGCGCATTTTAAATCAAGGTGGCTTTTCAGAGAGTTGGCGCGTCCTCCTGCTCCTGATCGTCCTGCGCCTTCGGCTTCGTCGTTGAACTGTCCTGTTTTTTTATTTTGTCGTCGTCGTCGTCGTCCCCCATCTCCTCCTCCTGCTCCGCACACCTCCGAATCCACGTCATTCCCTTCCTCGCCCTCGCCCTCGCCCTCCGCTTGGACTACTCCTCACCCTCTTGCTCCTCCCGCTCTTCCTCTCCTCCTCCTGCTCCTCCTCCTGCTCCTGCTCCTTCCCCCCCTCCTGTTCCGCACGCTCCAGGAGCTCGAGGGACTCAGGCGCATCACTAAGCAGGCCTACGGGCACGGCCACATGTCGCCCGACGTCTTCGGTACCATCCGCCCCGAGCTGGACCCAATGGGCAAGGCCGCCTTCATGCCGCTGGACACCGGCCAGCTCCACCTCCATGGCAAGGTGCTGCCCATCACCACGCGCAGGCGCGTCTTCGAGCAGGCCCTGCAGGACAACCTAGATGGCAAGGCGGAGGCGGTCCCCAAACGGCGCAGCGCTGATTGCCACAACGGTTGCAGGCTGGCAGGTCGAGAAAGCCACCACCTTCGTCTCGCCGCGGTTCGGTCGCATCTCGGCTCTAGAACACGCCCCGAAGCGCATGGACTACTTCCCCTAAAGGACGTCGTTGACCGTGTGCGGGAGAAGGCCGCAAACAGCGTCAGGCGCCGCGAAGGGCTGAGCGAGCAGGACCTCCCCAACGTGTGGTGGGAGGTGGTGGCCAACACGAGTGGGTCCGAGCACCTCACACCGCTCGAGAAGTGGGCCATCACCTCCGTCATGGGCGGCACCTGCCTCACGGGAACGAAGATGGCCGAGTGGGGCAACGACTAGAGTGTGGGCGCTTGTCGGCGCTGCGGGATGGCCTCCGCTGAGGGCCAGGCAAAAGTGGCGCCACCTCCCCCCATCCCGCCTGCAGAGACGGCGGCGCGAGGGCGAGGAAGGTGTCGGGTTTTTGCCTGTCAGGCCCGAAGTGGGCCTCCCCTGCGCGCCAGCGAAGATGATCGGGCGGGCCTTTGAACACGATGTGCCTGTTGATCTGAATCGCTTCGCGTTCCACCTTGACCAGCCGCTGGCGGGAGATGGCTCGGCCACCACCAGCCGCCTCGAGGAAGTTCGTAGGGCGGGGTGGGCGGTTGTGCAGCGGGGGCGGGACGGGGTCGTTCGCAAGCTCCTCGGGTCTCTCACCTCCCAGCTCCCTCCTACTGCACATGCGGCTGAGCTCCAGGCCTTCTGCCGTGGGGCTGAATACTCAGACGGGTCGCCTGCCCACATAGGCAACAACGCAGCAGTGCTGGCTGCCAGAGCGAGCGGGTGCGTGTGCACCACCAGTCCAGCGTGGGTTGACGCTGGGCGCTGGCGCCGAGTCAGGCGCGGAGACCTCGCGTATAGCGCGGGTCTCAAGATCATGTCCCACCAGGACGTCCCAGCCGCCCCTCAGAGCGAGGGTGAGTGGCGGGTCGTCCTCAACGCGTGGGCCGACGACGCGGCCAAGCAGGCGCTCAACTCGTGGCCCAGGCACGCCCGAGACGAGGTGCGCCTGGAGGACGCGTGCGCCGAGGTGCGCCGTGGCCTGTGGAACCTGGGGATGGTGCTGGCGAGTGGGCCAGCTCCCAAGGTGTGATGGGCCCACTTGCCCCCACGTGCTTCTCCCCCATCGGTGGTCAGACCGTGCTTTCTCCAGCACGAGCTGCACGATGTGGCCGACGGCCGCTGGCGGCGCGTTCAGTGCTTGCACGGGCTTCGGAGCTGGAAGGCCAGGATGGCCTCCGAGTGCGGGCGCGAGGCGCCCCCGAGCTGGCGACGGCTGCGGCAGCACGCAGGCTCGCATGTTCTGTGAGGCGCGATCGTCGGGCCCAGTGGCGCGCCTGCTGAGCAAGGCGACTTCCTGCTGTACTGTGTCCAGTGTTCGCAGTGCGCGCAGCTTCTGCCGAGCGGGCTGGCAGAACCGTGCCCAGTCCGCCAGCCAGGTGTCGTGATGGCCAAGACGGCCAAGGAGCGGCGAAGCCGCCTCGAGCGAGGCAGGCACCCGCGCACAGGACGCGCAGAGGTGGTTCTGGAGGGCTGGACTCTCACAGAGTTGGGTTTCCTCACTTGAGGGAGTGAGGCTCGTGCGTAGTGCACTCTCTGCAGCTGGCATGCTCGGCGGCCACAGAGGGAGCACAACAACTCATCCTGATCCGCTTCCTCCTCTTCACCCTCCTCCTCCTGTACTTCCTCATCTCGCTCCTCCTGGCCCCCTCCTTACACGAATCATCCTCATCCTCCTGGTGTAATTCCTCCTCCTTTCCCTCTAGCTCCTCATTGCTCCGCGCGCTGCATCTCGGAGTCCAGGCTTGCGAGGATGTCCCAGGCGAAGCGCGCTGGACAACCTCTCGCGCGGCATCGCAGAGCCCAGTAGGGGAGGATGTTTCAGGCGAAACGGGCTGGGCCATCTCTCGTGCGGCATCTTAGAGCTCAGGGTCTCGAAGATGTCTCTAGCGAAACGAGCCGGACCACCTCGCGCGAGGCATCTCGGAGCCCCTAATCCAAAGGAGATCTAAAACGAAATAAGCTGGACAACCTCGCGCGTGACATGTCGGAGCTCAGACGTGCGAAAATGTCTCATGCGAAACGGGCCGGACCACCTCGCGCGCGGCATCTCGAAGCCCAGACGTCTCAGGTGAAACAAGCAGGACAACCTCGCGCGCAGCATCTCGAAGCTCAGACTTGCGAGGATGTCTCCGGACAAAATGACGAGGACACTTCTCGCACGGAATCTCTGAGCCCAAAACCGCGAGGATGTCTCAAGCCAAACGGGCGGGACCACTTCTCGCACGGCATCTCGGAGCTCTGAGTTGCGATACGCATACATATATGTTTGTACATATGCACATCTATATAGATATGAGTGTATAAACAAACACATGTGTTGGTCCCTGCAGGACCGAAACTATCAAAATCGACCGCCTGCCGAGGACACCGAAGATCGATTCCAGCAGACTGTGGCTATGGATAAACCACCGCCTCGGATCCTCGCAACGCCGTGGAAATCGGCTGGACCAGGTCATGCCGATACAGGAGCTCCAGAATCACTTCGCGTGTCTTAATCGATCAGGGCCCCAAATCGCTGGACATAGAAGCCGACCTAGCCTCGACTCGACCGACCGCGTCTCCAGCAAGCTCCAGCAAACAAAGGCTTCTGTTCGTGGCATGTAAGTGAATTGTCCACGAAAATCCGCAAAAGGGTTCCGCGTGATTATAGTGCCCCCCTGAAAAGCTAGACAAGCTTAGGCCGATGCAAGTAGAAGCTTGCTTGAAAGATGGCACTGGCTGCCAGAGTGGCGAGGCCAATACCGCAGCCACCACGAGAAGAAAAACGAAGCACGAGCATCGCTGAATTGAACATCCAACGATCCACTTCGATGGATTACTTCCAAAGAAAGCCTGGAAGACGCATGACTCGGGTTCGGGGCACTCGGGTTGGCCCGACGGGGCCATCATGCAAGTGACGACCCAATCTGAAATTTGATGTGAGCTCCCTCTGCAAGCATCCCACGAACACTTGACCGTCAAAACCCAAGACGCAATCGTCAAAAACCATCGTCGAACCTGGGTCCTGGCGCACTCGAGTCATACGCCCCCCCCAGAAAAAAAGGGCAGCCAGGTCTCTGGCGCGACGCATTCCAGTCGCGCGCACAGGCGCAGCGCGGACGGCCGGCAGAGCATGCCTCGGGCTCCCTGGGCGGTGGCGGCACCCGAGGCTGCGGGCTTGCCGCCTGCAGGTGCCGCCTGCCACCTCACGTTCGTTAGGCGTTGCGAAATTCGGCGGCGGACCCAGGGTGGAAGCTGTGAGGGGGCAGGCCTCCTCAGAGGGCTCGAAGTCCCCCAGTCTTCTGATACACGTGTCCAGAGCCTTCCCCGAAGGCACAGGAGACTTCTCAGAAGGCAGAGGGCTTCTGAGAAGCCCCGCCGCCTTCTGAGAAGGCCTTCTCCTTCTCACTTCCCCCCCCCGCTCGCCGCCGATCAATGGGTGGGCGATAAATGAGGGGAAAGAAATGTGAACCTTTCATTCCCATGTTGGTCCCAGAGGGCCCCCCTAAGGCGCATGAAAGGTGCACTTTTCGTCACCCCCAATCTAGTTACGCCCCGCATTACGCAACGGTGCGCCCACGCAGCTCCGTTGATGGCAAGCTGAGAGGGTGGGCCCACGCTCCGCCACGTCATGCAAGAGAACGCTTTGGCCTGCATGCGACTCGCCCGCGGGCAGCGTCCCTCCGTCGCGCGCGCACGCCCTGCCGACTCCTGCTGCTCGCGGCCTCCATCTCCTGAGTCCCATGCATGTCTACGGCTCCCCCCCTCTTTCTCTCACTCTCTCTCCCTCTCCATCGCACCCGCTCTCTCCATCTCGTTCTCTCGTTCTCTCGTTCTCTCTCTCTCTCTCTCTTTCTCCCTCTCTCTTCCTCTCTCTCTCTCTCTCTCTCTTCCTATCTCCCTCCCTCCCTCCCTCCCTGCAGTATGTTTCCTCCCTGCCCCCCCGCCCCGAAGAACTGGAGGAAACGGCCCCTGTCTGGAAACACGCCCTCGAACACCCAAACTAACCTCCCCGCCCACTTCACTCAGCTCCACTTTTGCCCCATCCTTCATATCCCCTTCCCACCCTGCGCCCCCAACCCTCTCATCCCCTCACGTCCCCCCTCCAGTAGAGGCGATCTCGTGAGGAGCGTTTGCTCAGGCGAGCTAAGTGTCTGGGGATCTGACGGCGGGGGAGCAACAACTGCCCCGACCTGAGCTACGGTGGTCTGTGCAGTGCTGCTCCTAGCATCGTCCAGCCATCTCGTCATGCATGAAGCTGGCGCACATGAGGCGAGCGACCTGTGGCGGGTGGCAAACTACGCTTCCCCCTCCTTTCCGTACACCAGATCTCTAGTCCTTGTTTTTCCGGGAAGGCTACTATTGTGTGGCCATCGCGGGGAAAGAAACTTAAGTGGGGCACGTGCTGGCAGGCCGATTTCTGATTAGAGGTGCGCAATATAAACCGTAAGAGTAGAGGGGGGTGCGAGGATGCGACTGGGAGTGTGAGCACGAGCAGGGTCGCTGTCTGAAGGCAACCCTTTATGCCCCAGTCGAAGCAACTCCGCAGCACTGGGGCCCACGCCGAACAGAGAAACTACAAGCCCCTACATCGACCTAACGACTTCTCGATGATCTGCAGGACGCGTGCTGACGCCAACGTGTGTTTGCCTTCCGCTACGATGCAGGCCGGTACAGCTGACCGGGGTAAACACACACGACTGGCATTGGGCTAACACACGTCCCGAGGATGATCGAACTTCTCGTGCCTTCTCACCTCTTGGGCGCAAGGTTGCCGGAAGGGCCCAGGCCACTTGAGCCATGGCAGAAGCCCTGATACCCAAACAACTTGCACCTCCCGGAGAGCAGATCTTCACTCCCGCCGGCTTCCACTGAGGGAGCGGCCCTCTATGTGCTCCCGCCGTCGTCCGCCGACCTGCCCGCCTTCCCCCGACGAGAATGGAGATGCCAGCCTCTGAACCCCTGGAGGCAATACTCTTTCAGGAATGCCCACCTGAACAAACGATCTGGTGAGGGCATTGGATGTAAAGGACCACTTGAGAATGCATCCAGGATCTGAAGGCTGGTGCAACTCCAATCGTGGATTGGCCATGGCTGTCGCCACGGCCCCTGCTAGAGAAGGAGCCCTCCAGGCTCTGAAGCCTCCTGGGCACATTCCTCAACGAATGTCCCTACTGTAAGGCTGTGGACAACTGCGCGAGGAGCAGCAGCAGCAGCAGCAGGAACGCGCGAGGGGAGGAAGGGGGGGGAGGAAGAGGACGGTGGGCAGGGGGAGGCAGGAGGAGAAGGAGGAGCAGGAGGAGGAGGAGGAAAAGAAGGAGGAGGAGGAGCAGGAGGAGTAGGAGGAAGAGGAGGAGGACGAGGCAGGAGGAGGAGGAGGAGGCAGGAGGAGGAGGAGGAGGAGGAGGAGGAGGAGGAATGGGGATTCGAAGGAGGCGCTCGGGAGCGCGCGCGTGTGCGCGCAGGCGGAGCGCGCGAGCCCCAGCCGACGCCGCTGGCGACGGCAGCGGCGACGACGCAGACGACGCAGACGACGACGACGGCGGCAGCGACGACGACGACGACGACGGCGACAACGAGGCCGACGAGGCCTCCCAGGAGGCCCAACAACAGCGAAAGCGAGGCAGGGGTGGCAGCAGTGCAGTATTGGTAATACCTCTAAGTAGTTTCATCTTACTTGCGAACCGCATCCCAAAAACAAATGTCGAGCACCCAGAACAATATCGAAACAGTGTCGAACGAGTATCGCCCCCCACAGCCCGATACTTGCAAACCCTCAAGTTACGGTAGCTTCTTGGTGCACGAGATTCATTTTGGTGATCAAGGCTAGAGCAGGTTGGAGGATGGTCAAATTACATGTTCGTCCTCTGAACGACGAGAGCGGCGACGGCGACTGCGATGACGACAACCACCACGGAGGCGCCGACGTGAGGGAGGCACCCTGGCGCGAACGCGCGTGCGCGAGCGGGCCTCCACGTCGGCGGCCTTGGCCTCGACGAGCCGGAGGCGCCGGAGGTGGCTGACGAGGTGGGGCGCGCCCTCGCGAGGGGGAGGATGAGGAGGAGGAGGATGAGGAGGAGGAGGAGGAGGAGGACAAGAAGGAGGGGGAGGAGGAGGAGGAGGAGGAGGAGGAGGAGGAGGAGGAGGACAGAAGAGGAGGAGAAGGAGGAGGAGGAGGAGGAGGAAAGAGGAGGAGGGGGAGGAGGAGGAGGAGGAGGACGAGGAGGAGGAGGAGAAGGAGGAGGAGGAGGCGGAGGAGGAGGAGGAGGAGCCCCAGGACCAGTCTTCACAAAATCTTCGCTTTGGGACATGAAATTTCTTAATGTGTAAAACCCGATTCTTCTCAATAGTTTTCAATGGCGCATGTGGCATGTGTAGGGATCCATGGCGGCCCGTTCGCGGTGAAACTGAATCAACCAGGATAGAAACAAGTTCGGGGCGGGAGCGCAAGGAGGAGGAACAAGATCCCTCAGGAAATCCATAAGATTCATTTGAACATCCATAGGGTTCCTTCGGAGATCTATCGGATTCGTTTGGAAATCCATCAGAGTTCTTAGGACATCCATTGGATTTCTTCGGACCCCCACAGGAACCCTTAGTAATCCTTGCTACTCAATAAACGAAATTCGCAACTTCGATTCGCAACTTTCCCCCGCGATAACCAAGTTCGGCCTTGCCGCCCCCTTTCCCCGACCAAATCTGCAGTGGCCAGGGATATTAAACTCTCAGGGGTTAATGGGGCGGGAATTTCATATCCGGGGCAATTGGTCAGTCTTCCTCGTAATCATCCTAGTCCTAGTAGTCGGGATCATAGTCATCGTGCCATTCGTAACTCCCGTGACCTTCGTCGTCGTCGTAGTCGTCGTCGTTATACCCCTCCTCATCGTCGCCGAGGCGGGTCTCCCCCCCCTCTTCTCAGCACGCCCACTCCACCTGCGACTGCTCGCCCCCCCCCCCCACAATGCTCATGTGGCCGCCCACCCCACGGGGGAGGCCGTTCCCCCCCCCCCCCACACACCCTTTCTGATGGAGCTCCCCTCTTCGACGCAGTGCCGGCAGGGCGAGCAGGGCAGTTCGCCTGGAGCCCTGCTCAACCTGGGAACAAACACTGAGCAGCGTGGAGGAGGGGGAGGAGAAGGAGGAGAAGGAGGAGGAGGAGTAGGAGGAGGATGAGGAGGAGGAGGCGGAGGCGGAGTAGGAGGAGTAGTAGGAGGAGGCGAGTGAGGAGGAGGAGGAGGATTTTTTGGCCGCAACAAGCCCTTTCACCTCCAAAAAATGAACGCAGGCCTTGGAGGGAAAAACCTGCGCACGGCCCAGGAGGAGGAGGAAGAGGAGGAGGAGGAGGAGCTGCTGCATGCTGATCCTGCACCCGGCCTGGGAACAAAAACTGAGCATCGTGGAAGCGATGCCCATCCCAACCTGCAGGGCCCTGGCCCCACTGGCCGAGTTGCCCCCCTTGATGGAGATATCAGCTGCTTTCTTCGGGCTTCGAGAGGTCTATCCCCAACTAGGGGGGGGATTGCGAGGCTGATATGCCATGGCCCGTTGGGGATGGGTTTGGATTGAACGATACTGCCAAACTCTGTGTGGTCGAGTCCGATTTGAGAGGACACGCGAGATGACACAAGACCCTTCCAAGAGCAAGCCCCCGGCATCTGCGAACATGCCAGGACACAAAGGCACCCTTGCCCCAAGGATGCAGAAGACACCAGACCCGATACACAGAGCACACAAGTACCATTGATTTGGCAGGGTCGACTCTACCAGATAGACCTGTGAATAGAACTCGTCTGTACTAGAGTTCTCAGAAACGGGGTCGAAGTGCCGTGCCGCATCGCCGATGCACCACCAATGCATCGGCAATGCGTGTACATCGGCGACGTCGGCGACGCCAGGCATCGGCAACGCAGGCGTGGAGAGATCGCTCCCCCCACATCGAGCCGCATCCTCCGACCCCATCTGCTCTACTGACCCCATCTGTGAAGGGGCCCTGTGACACACAAATAAATCTACACGAGTAACAGGACTCCCCATATTCTCCCATATTTTCTGGGTGTTCGTCTTCCCCCCCATTCCCCATGTTCTCCCAGATCTCCTGGGGACTCGACGCTTCATTGTGTCTGTGTGTGTTTTTTGGCTCCCTCCTGACATCCGTGCGGCGCAGACGTATACAGTCGGGGCGTTGACCTAAGGAACGATACATAAGGAACGAGGCCCCTTTCTCCCATATAGTAAACTCCGATGTTCCATGGAAAACCTCCGGAAAACCCGAGGAGCACTGTAAGCAACTGAGGAACACGGAGCCCCTCCCCAACAAAAAGGGTTCCTTCTTCAGGACCCCGACTGTACTGGCCCCCCCCCCCCCCGCGCGCTGCAGCGGCGCACTCCTCCCCGCCCGCGGGCCGCCGGAGAGGCCTGCTCCTCCGGCGCCGCCGCCGGCCGGCCGCCCGCGGAGGGCGGCGGCTGCCCGGCCCCGCAGGCTGCTGTGGCCTCCGGGGGGCGCCGCGCGGGGCCACAGCGCAACAACAACAACAGTCCATCAGAGTCCCCGAATCAGAGCATCGCAATCAAAAGCTGGCGGGACCTCGGTGCACGGAAGTATCATAGTACCCCCATGATCGTTGTGCCAAGGCCAGCAGGCGGTGATTCCGCAACTGGTCACGGCACGCGACGCGATAGAGCCACAGTGTGCTCCGGCGCGCCTGCCCGACACTGAGGCACCTAGCAATCAGGCGGGCTCCCTCACGAGAACCCGAAGGAGCCTGGAGCGATCCTGCCCCAGCCTGGCCATGGCGAAGTTGCACGGGGTACGGTGTCCGGAAGTGCATATATGGAATGAAAGCTACATTTCGGTAAAGCCTCGGGGGGGGCGTGCCTGAGCCGCGAGGCTGGGCCACAGCGCACTGGAACAAGCAGGACGGGGATTTTTCGCAGAGTTCTCGGGGATGGACAGACCCCCCTTTAGTAAAACGTGATTTAGTGAAAACGACCTGAGGCGCCCACCTGGCGGGCGCAAGCATGGAAAACGACGGCCACGGCGCCCTCTCGAGAACCGAAAACGGACAATTCACTAATCGACGTGTCACTGTTGGCAGCCTGTTGGGGGTTCTGTCCACCCCCGAAGTTCGGCGGCCACGGGGATCTTTCGCAGAGAGTTCGGCCCCTGCATGGGGCCCTCGCGGGGGCCGCGGGACCGACGAGAAAACACGGCTCGGGGCTGTCAGGTCCAGCGCAAGCTGGACAAATCAGGGCGGAGATCTTTCGCAGAGTTCGGCCCCTGCATGGGGCCCTCGCGGGGCCGCGGGACCGTCGAGAAAACACGGCTCGGGGCCGTCAGATCCGGCGCATTGGAAGAATCAGGGCGGAGGTGTTTCGCAGAGCTCGGCCCCTGCTGTAGGGGCCCCCGCGGGGCCGCGGGACCGTGGAGAAACACGGCTGGGGATATGAGAGACTGCATGGTCCTGGGGAAGGGGTCACAGACCTCCCGAGGCCGCGCGTGGAGAAGATCACGACGTCGGATCTCTGGGGGGGGGGGCGTCGCCGTCGCCGCAGGCCGCCGGCCCTGCCGCCGCCATCCGCGGCGCCTCCGCGGAAGCGGCCGTGGCCCGCTCGGGCAGCGGCAAGGAAGCGGCAATGGAAGGGCAAAGGGAGCCGCCGCCCTCCGCGGCGCCTCCGCGGAGGGCGGCCGTGGCCCGCGCCCGCAGGGGAAGGCGGGCGGCGGTCGGGCAGCGGCGGGGCCCCCGCGGGGGAGCACGGCGAGGAGGCGCGGAGGGGCGAGGCCGAGGCGAGGCGCGGAGCGGGCGGAGAGGCACCAGGGGTTGCCAGCCTCGAGCAGATCCCTATCCCTAAGATCGGCACGCCATCCCTATCCCTATCCCTATCCCTATCCCTATCCCTATCCCTATCCCTATCCCTGGCCAAGAGGCGATGGCAATCTTAGGGATTCGCCCTCAAAAAAAATAAGGGAGTCCCTAAGATTGGCCTCGTGATGGGGAGGTGCCCAGCATAGGGACAGGGATATGTTCCAGGCTGGTAAGAAGGGGCGAGAGGAGCACAGTCGGACCAGGAAGGCTTTCGCGCGCGCGCCGAGGAGCAAGTCAACGAGGTGCACGGTGCTGCTGCGGCGACGGCGCGGCCGTCGGGGGTCGCGGGGAGGCCGAGGCCGAGCGCGCGAGCCGCTGCGGTGGCATCGCGGTCAATACCTTGGGGGCCCCCGTGTGCCCGCACCAACGGTCACCGACGATACGATATTTTCAATCTGGGCGTCTCTCCACGATTCGAGCCTGTAGGCAGGAGGGCCCAGAATCGAACCGATAACTCGGATCGGCGATCGACATGAATCGGTTCGGGAGACATCGGCAGCCGAACCGAAAAGCCGAATCGGTAGACATCGGCAGGCTAGTAGGCCTCCATTGAGACATCGCATTCCAAATCGGAATCCGCAGCCGAATCGCACTAGAATCGAAAGCCACCGAAATCGAATCGAATCGCATCGGAGGAACCGAAATGAGCCCCGTGTAAGGGCCGCTCGTGGGCCAGGACGGACATGCATCCAGGACGAAGAGCCAGCCGCAGGGAAGGGGTCTCGTCGAATGGCTGGCGCCGTCGCCGCCGCGGACGCTATCGTCGCCGCTGTCGTCGCCGCAGTCGCGCCCGCCGCCACTGTCGTCGTTGCCGCCGCGGCCGCCGTGGCAGAAGTTTGTGGGTCCCGAAGCTGAGCTTTGAGCTGTGTGTTCGCTCTGCGTAGGCCTCGGCCCGAGGAGCAGGAGAGAGGGGAGAGGCGACAAGGGGAAGGAAGACGCAGGAGCACGAAGGGAAGCACCAGGAGGTGGACGATGGCTTTTCACCTGTACGGTAGCACTTGCAAACCTTGTCGCGTCGGCATCGGCTCCAACTTCTTCTGCAGCACTCCCGGGCAAGCATCCCATTGCAAACAGTCTGTCAGCTAGCGTGGACCCCAGACTAAGTTCTTCTAGCAACAACTATTGTACAATCTAGGTGGGGCAATCGATGTGGTGCAAACTACGTGGTGCAATCGATCGTGTGCAGTCGATGTTGTGCAACATAGTTTTGCAACCTACGCGATGCAATATAGGCGGTCATGGTGCATTCGATGTACTGCATTAGAACGTGGTACACACTGCGCGGTGCAACATATCAGGTGCGCTGCAATCGGCGCGGCGCAAACTATGTGGTGCAATTAAGCCCGCCGAGCTCGAAGTTGTCAGCTCTACTCCACGCGAAAGCATCCCACCCTACCACCGGCAACCTGGTTTGCCAAACCCATGCGGCGGCGATTGCGATGACTGCGTGGCGCTGGCTGGCACGTCGCCGCGGCCGCGCCAGCGTGCGCAGGCTCGCGCGCAGAGGTGCCAGCTAGTCCGGCGCGACCGACGCGGCCGCGGGGGCGCTGACCGCTGGGCACTTCCCAGCGCGTCTCGCAAGCAATTGACGCGCGGGCAATTCAATCGAGTTGGTGACCCGGGCGGGCGCGAGTTGGCCTTCGGGTCGCGCCCCCACTTTCTCGTGTTGGCTTGAGCGTCCCGGAAAATGTCTTCTCAGGGTGGCAACGTGGGGCGATCATGTGGGCAAAGTACAATGACAAAGGCAACTAAGGCGTTTGACTGACGTCCCGATGCTTACTTCGTTTGCGGCATGCGCTTTCTTCAGTTCAACTTACGGTCGGTATTGGGTTGAATGTTCCAGGCTCTGCTTTTGGCACTCACTCATTTATTTGTGTACAATGGTGGTGGCCAACATTGCACGCAAACTTCCATGGCTGCTCCTTTGTTAGGTTTGTCCGTCCCACCATGCTGTCAACGCACTAGATCATCGGCCCCAGGAGCAATTGCCAATGCACTGGGGAATCGTTCTCAGATGGGAATGCTGCAAGCATGTTCGTACATTTGGCGACGATTTGGCGACGTGCGCTTTCGATGTGGCGCCCATCCTCCATATACGGCGCATCCTCCCGTTATCTCGCTTACTTGTTTAGGTTCGCCGAGACGCCAGCCGTAATGGTATGACCTCGCCACCAACTCTCACTCGTTCTCCTCTTCCCCCTCCTCCTCCTCCTCGCGCGTGGCCGCGGCGCTGCAGTCCTGCTCTTCACGATCGCCGCCGCCGCTCCTAGCGCCCCATCATCTGGGCGCCAATGCGAGGGTCAAGTGCGGATGCCTGGTCCGCCACGAGGCCGCGACAAAGATGTGCTCCTCCTCCTCCTCCTCCTCATCCTTCCCCTCCTCATCCTGAGTCCCGAGTCCTGAAGACACGAGGGTCTGTCAGACGTTGCCCTCTCCCTCCTCACCGCACGAAGGCGGGCCGGCGGGCCGGAGAAGGGCAGCCGGGAGCGCGATGGCCCGCCTGCGGCGGGGGCGCGGCGCGCTCGCGGAGCAGGGCCGCCATGTGCGGCACGAGGTCGTAGCCGCAGAAGCCGCAGAAGCGCGCCTGTCCGGGGCGGGGCGGCGCGAGGGGACGCAGAGGGCCAGCGCCCTCTCAGAAGCAGAGGGTGCTTCTGAGAAGCCTTCCCCCCTCCCCTCTCTGCCCCCCTCTGCACTTTGGACACCCGAAATGGGTACCGAAAGAATGGGTACAATGCCCAACAGCAAATGTTGTCCCAAACCAACAGCGGCCGCTGTTGGGCAGGCGGCCTTCTGTCTCGAATGGACACAGGCCGCGGCAGCGTGGACAGCGAATCCTGTTCAGAATGAACAAGAACTGCTGTTGGGCAGCGTACCCATTCTTTCCGTGCCCATCACGGGCGTCCAGATGCACCACGTGGCCGAACATCAGCACGCACTGCAAGGATGTCCTTCTGCGTCCCGCCGCGCCCCGCCTGCCCTGGATTAGGGGAACGAATAATGTCACAAACATAAAAACTCGGAGGTCCGCGCGGATTTCTCGGATCGGCGCTGGGGCCCCCCCGCCGGCGTCTCCGGTGCCGCCCCTGGCGCGCTCCACGCGCCAGGGAGGGGAGACCAGCGCGGGGTGCGACGGGAAGCGTAAGGACATGCCTGCAGTGCGTGCTGATGTTCGGCCACGCGCAGAGGGGGGTAGAGGGGGAGGGGGGAAGGCTTCTCAGGAGCACACCTGCTTCTGAGAAGGCGCTGGCCTCATCTATAGATGTGAGGCCGGGGCCCTTCCAAGGAGCAGGGTGCCTCTGAGAAGCCTTCCCCCGCCCCCCTTTCCCCTCCTGCGCGCCGCCAAGATGTTGGAGGCGCAGGTCCAGCACGAACGCACTGCACACGCACTTACTTTATCAAACATCGGCCGCCGAGCGGTGTGCCCAGACAGCGCCCGCCACGGAGTTTGTAGTATGAGATGCCGGAGCGTGCGCGCCGCCCATGCGAGGCCAACGCACGCACAGTCCAAATATGCTCGGGCGGTGCCGGTAGGAGGAAGGGAGGGTGCATCCGAAGCGGGCCAAGTCGGAGACAACAGCGGCCCTCCCTTCGAAGGGCGGGTGCTGCCAGAAGTGCCCCTGGCCCAAGGTGTTCCCGAGGAGACCCCCACGGCTTCCAGAGCAGCACCTCACGAGGCCCTCTGGGTCCCAGGGGCCTCAAAAAGGAGCGAGAAGCTGGGGGCACCTTGGGCCAGGGGCACATTTCGCAACCCCCGAGAGGGGAAGCTCCTAGAGGCCTCTCATCGCCACAGCCAGATCCGTCCCCGAAAAACCGGGGACCCATTTCTCGAAAGGGTCTGGGTCGGGAAGCGCGAGATCTTCGGCAACTCGTCGCGGAGAGGGCGAAGAACCAAGGCAAGCGTGAAGGCCTTCCCCGCGAACGCCCCAAAGGACGAGTTCTGAGGGCCCCCGTGTCGGTGGGTGGACTCGGCAGATCGGCCCCCGAGATCAGATCACTGAAACAGGGGATTCAATCGGCTCTCCTCCGGGCGTCTCTGGCAGCCGCCGCCCCGACGGAGCCCTGGGGCAGCCGCCCACACAGCAGTCGCCCGCTGAGCAGCCGAAGGCGGGGGGGGGAGTCCGGCGCAGGGGAAGTACAGTCAACCTGTAGCGTGAGGACGCACGGTAATGGTGCAAGGTCCTCGGAAGGCCCTGCTGGTGTTCTCGAACGTGGCTGGCCAGCGAAAGTCGCCACGGATGGGCCGAAGGGGAACGGATGCAAGATTCACCTTGGAAAGTTGCTCCTCCTGACTGTGCGGATTGACTGTAAGTGCGTAAGGGCGTGTGGTCGGCAAGAGATCTGATGGCACGTCCGTCGTCAACCCTTGGCTTCGCAGGGTCTCCTAGGCTCTGCGGCTCCACAGGGTGGTAAGAAACTGCGGTGGGGCACCCGTTGGCAAGTTGCTTACGTTCGGGGTTTGCGAAATGTGCCCCTGGCCCGAGGTGCCCCCAGCTACTCGCTCCCTTCTGGAGCCAGAGGGACTCTCTTGGCCACGTGATGGGGTGCTCTGGAGGCCACGGGGGCCTCCTTGCTCCTTGGACATCCTGGGGGCACCTTGGGTCATGGGCACTTCAGGCAACAACGGTTCTTATCTGGCGTGCCCACTGTACATGCATCGCCGAGAGACTTGCGATCGGCATCCCGACAGCACAACCGCGCGTGCGCAGTGAGCGGGCTATCCGGGGTGGATGCTTCTCGACCGAACCAGTCGCCCGCCCTCGTCGCCCACGACGAGGGCTTGCCTGTAACCTTTGTCGTCGTCGTCGGCGTCGTCGTCGTCGGCGGCGTCGTCGTCGACAGTGTCGTCGTCGTCGTCGGCGTGCCTACAGCCCTCTCTTTACGCATGTGTTTTCATTGGCGTGGGCTGGGTCGATTAGCCGGGGTGCATGTTGCACTCCATCGAGCAAGAGGCACGAGACAGGCACCACATCGCCCCCGCGTATCGTAGCGCACCGCGGCGTGTCTAATCATTATTCCCGTCCTCTCATTACCTTCCTGTTCGCACGTCTCTCAAATATATGCCCGCATTGCTGCTGCCCGACCAGGGCCCGGAGGCTCAAGCGAGCAAGCAGATTGCAAGTTTTAGCTGCACCCCGCCAGGCCAAGCGGGGTTGATCGTTGCATTTCCCCCCATTGACCCTGGTGGGCCGGCGATGCAAAGCCTGGGGACGCGGGCGCGAACCTATCCCAGGCGGCCTGGCACTGCCTGTCTCAATGGCCCCAAGGCCCAACAACGGCGCGAAAGGGGGAGGAAAATGTCCGTCACCGTGCCTTCAGCACGAAGTGGAAAGCCCACCAAGACTTCCGCAGCCCTGAGAAATAGAGGGTCTCTGAGGATCATACGGGCCCAGAGCCCCGGTCTCCCAGGCGCTGCTGGGCGCTACTGTGCGCGCGCGAAGTGTTTCGCGTGGGCCTCCAGGACGGCAACGTCGACCAAGAGGGCCACCCGACGGGCCATAAGGTCCCAAAGGGCCTCCCAGACGGTCCACGAAGGTCCCGAGTCGCCCACAGATCGCTCCAGGACGCCCCAAGAGGGCCCCCAAAACATCCTCCAAGAGGACCCCGGGATGCCCAAATCATAAATTTTCAATCGGCTCTGACAGGTTTCAACGTGTTGATTTCTTCCAGCCTTCGGCGCTCTAGGACGGCCAAAGAGGCTCCAAACATTGTCCTAGGACGACCTTTGAGGCCCCAAAGAGCGCCCCAGACGGCCCAAGATGGCCTCGAGACGGCCCAAAAAGCCCCCCAAACGGCCCAATTGATCCCCCAAAAGGCCCAAGACAGGCCCCAGAGGGGAAACACGAACCGACACTTCGAGCTCTTCGCCCCAACATGGCCCCCGAGACCGCCAGCAGGCTTCCCAGAGGCCCCCCCACAAGCTCCAGGAGGCCCTCAAGAGGCCCAAGTCAGGCCCTAAAAGCCACACCCCAAGAGACACGAGAGGCCCCCAAGACACCCAAAACCATATCCGATAGGCTTCCGAAGGGCCCCCCAAGATATCGCCACAGGAATCTCACGCCTAGGTCGGGCATGTCCTCCTACACGCGGATTTTGGACGAGAAATAAAACAAATACTCAGAACATACCTCCAACTAGACTCAAATGAATTAAAATATCTCCACCAGACGATTTTTAACTATCCTTGCGTAGTCCCCCTGTAGAGGGACATGCCTGACTTAACCCACGCCTCTGACATGCAACCCAGACGCCGTGGCGGGATGGGCCGAAGGCCACTCGATACGAGAAACAAGGCACACTCGATACGAGAAACAAGGCACACCACCACACAACGTCGAAGGTCCGCGCGGATCTTCTGGAACGGCGCTGGACCCCTTCCCTGGCGCGCGGGGCGGAGCAAGTGTGGCGGCGGAGATGCCGCCGAAAGGGCCAGCGCGGATCCGAGACATCTGCGCGGACCTGCGAAACTATGTGTGTGAGAGAGAAGTTAGTTGCCGTTTTCAAAAAGGCAGCGACAGGGGGTGACCAGCTCAGGGGGGGGAACATCAAGCTTGAATCGGCGATACGTCGCCGACTGCTCGGCGATAGGCCCCCGAAAAGGCCCCCGAGAGCGACACCGCACGCTTATGCACGGGGTGGGCTAGCGGACCTGTTGTTTTTTCGGCGATCGACGGCAGCGGGGGACGATGCATTCCCCCCTGAGCCTGTATCTCTTCTATCCTTGTCCCTGTTTCTCGCCCTTCGGCAACAGGACCATGGCGCAAGCACCGACGGCCGTCGTTTGTTTATTATTATTATGAATGATTATCATTACTATTATTAGTATTTTCGAAAAAAAGGAAACAAACTCGCGGGACTACGGCGCCTGCCGCGGCCGCCGATGCCCCAGCGCGGCGCCGACTTGGTCGGGCACCTTTGTTGGGCAGGGACCGGCTGTGCGGTAAAGGCTGCAGGCCTACCACGACGGGTTTTTAGAACCCAGGAATGCTCTACGAACGAACGCAATTTTCTTAGAACATAAAGCCGATGTGTAAAAAGCAAGACCGCCCCAGCCAGAAGTGTGATGTTCTGAAAAAAATTCGAGCAAACCACAGACGGTCCTCAGAACATTCCTTGGCGGGCCTGTAGGCGAGCCAGGACGCTGCGCCACTGCTTGACTTTGGGAGCTGCGCACTTCGACGCGCAGCACAAGAGGCGAATTCAGCCTCGCTGCCCCCAGCGCGCTGCAGGTTGCCGAGGAGGAGCCATGCCTGCCGATGATCGTCGCACACGCCATTGTGACCAGCGCCGAGGTACGCGGTAGAGGAAAACAAAACGGCATCAGCATAAACTTTATACCGCCCGGGAATTTAGCGCAGATCCTGAAAAAATCTGCCCGGAACGCTTAACATATATGGCTATGTAGTTGTCTCTCCGTCTACGGGGGGGCCGGCGCCCCCCAAAAATGGTGACATCGATTCTGTAGTCGATCCGCTACTGAAAATTTAGACCAAGGAACACAACACAAGCATGAACTTTGAGGGTGCGGGCCGATTTCTCTGCTTTTCTCGGCTCTGCGCGGGGCCCACCTGGCGGTGCCTCCGGCGCCGCCCCTAGCGCTCTCCGCTCGCCAGGGGGTGGGGACCCAGCGCGGGTCCTGGGAAGCCGCGCGGACCTCCGAGAGATGATGTTTAGCCCCGGCGCCGAGCACAGTGGAAGCGCCCCCCCCCCGCGGCCTTGCACTCGGCGACCAGGGAGCTGCTGCGCTCGCCGCAGGACGGGCAGAACCTCCGGGGCCGGACGGGGCGGCAGCGGGGAGCGGGCCGGGAGGCGCCAGACGCTGCAGTCTGAGCGCTGACCTCAGGAACGATCAATGAGGAGCGAGGCCCCTCTTTTCCACGAGTTCCGCTTCGACTTCCCACAGAAAGCCTGAGGGCAACTCGTGAAGAGCGGTAACAGAGTGACGGAACATCAAGCCTCTCCCCAACGAAAAGGGTTCCTTCTTCAGCGCTCCAGCTGTACAGCCGAAGCGTCGCCACGAGAGCGTGCGTGAAAAGCAGGGGGCCTCTTCGACGGAAGGCTCACGGCCGCAAGGAGGTGCGCAAAAAAAACCGAGGACACCGAGGAACAGAGCACGAGGGAGAGCCCTCCAGAGAGAGAGGCCCGCTGTCGGGCCTCGTGCCAGCTGCCTGTGCGCCCTGGGTCAGGCGATGCGCCCTCGGGTAGAGACCCCCTCCACCTCCTCCTCCTCCTCCTTCTCCTCCTCCTCCTCCTTCTCCTCCTCCTCCTCCTTCTCCTCCTCCTCCTCCTCCTCCTCCTCCTTCTCCTCCTCCTCCTCCTACTTCTCCTCCTTTTCTTTTCCTCCTCCCTCCTCCTCCCCCTCCTCCCCCTCCTCCCCCTCCTCCCCCTCCTCCTCCTCCCTCCTCCTCCTCCTCCTCCTCCTCCTCCTCCTCCTCCTCCTCCTCCTCCTCCTCCTCCTCCTCCTCCTCCTCCTCCCCACAAGTGGCCCACCCGTCCCACGCGACAGCGGAGGGAGAGAAGGCATCCCACACCTTCTCTGAAATGAAGTTGGCCCATCCGCGGCCACTTGAGTCCCGACCCCCCTCCCCGGGGGGCAGCTCCGCGTCCCGGGCTCCTTGTAGTTGGCGGCCCCGGGGCCAGAACACGGCCCCCCCCAGAGGCGGAGCTCCAGGAAGAGCGCCCGGGTGGAACATAATCACATCGCAGGAGGAGAAGGTGGTGGAGGAGGAGGAGGAGAAGGAGGAGGAGGAGGAGGAGGAGGAGGAGCGCAGCGTAAGGGTAGGAGGAGGAGGAGGAGGAGGAGGAGGAGTGGCCCAGGTCGCCAAGGAACCTCGCCACTCGCGCCGAGGGGAGCGCGAACTCTGTTCGCACCCAGTCGAGGCGCTGGTCTGCAACCACCGTGCCACCAGAGCAGGAACGCCGAGTGTACGGAGGAGGCTTCAGAGAAGGATGCCTTCGCTGAGGAGCCCCGGGCCTCGCGACCGATGGGCGGCCAAGCGTCGGCCACCCACCTCGCCTGGAAACAGCAAGGCATGCGCCGGGGTCTGGGCCCTCGGAGGGCGCTCCCGAGCCCATGCCGCCGCCGCAGGGAACGAAGGGGACTTGTGTCGGTCCACGGCGAGCCTCGGGCGCGCGGGGTGCCCCGTCCTGGCTGCAAAGGGGCAGGCAGAAAACCGGAGCACCTCCTTGGCCCAGGCTGGTCCTTACTTCAGCGCCCTGCCTGTATACTTAGGTCGTGAGGCCCCGCCCGCCCGGGCCCTGTCTCCCCAATTAGGGCTCCGCGCGCCCCGCCTAGCTCTTGACCTGAAGAGGCCCGCTCCCGACCCGCCGACCAAAAAGTATACTTAGGTCGGGCATGTCCTCCTCCAGGCGGATCTCGGACGACAAGTTAAAAATAGTCAAAACATGCAACCCCAAGAATCGGACATAGTCCCCAAATCGTTCCCCGACTATTTCTTTGACTATGTCTGAACCCTCCTCCTGTAGAGGGACAGCTGAAGCATGGACCACTCTGGGCTCAGGAGGGGCTCTGGCGTTCGGGCCCTCGCGTTCTGGTCGCGCCCGCGCGCGCGCGCGCGCCCGCGCCCGCCCCCCCCCATTGGGAGAAGGGCGGCCCGCTGGCCCAGGCCGAAGAAAAAGAGGGCGGCGCGCGACTGTCGTTGTGCCCCCCGCGGGCGGCCTCCGCCATCCTGATCGCCCTTGTCTTGCCCGCCCTTGTCCTCCTCGTCGTCGTCGTTGTCCTCCTCCTCCTCCTCCTTGCCTCTTCCTCCTTCTCCTCCTCCACCTCCTCCACCTCATCCTCCTGCTCCTCCTCCTCCTCCTCCTCTTCGTTCTCCTCCTCCTCCTCCTCGTCCTCCTTCTTCCCCTCCTCCTCCTCCTCCTCCTCCTCCTTCTCCTCCTGCTCCGCCTCCGCGGGAACACCTGGAGCAGCAGTGCACAATGCGGGCAGGGGCTCCAGCGCAGCAACGCACAGTGCCAACTCCCCGGCGCGACGCAAGGGGGAGGCCGTCGATGTGGCGGCCCCGCTCTGCCTGTCCGAGACAGTCCAGAACCACGCAAAGACACCGCAGACGATCCGCCACGGTTGCCAGAGGCACTAAGGAGACTGTCTTCGGGTCACTTCGATGACTACCTACCAGACCACCCCAACCCAACCCGAAGACCCGAATTTCGGGTTGGGGGGGGTATGGGTTCCATACGTGTTTTTGTCCATGTTCCCCGACCCCCCCCCACTGGAAATGGAGGGCAAATTGAGGCCTTCGGGTTGGGCTGGGGTGGTTTGGTGGGTGGCCCCTTCGAGCTCTCTGCCCTGGGCACTCTACGCTCAGGAACTGTTGCGCAGCGCGTCGCGGCGGCGGCCCAGCTGCGACACGCCGTGCCGCCGTGCCCTGCGAGCGGACGGCGTGCCGCCCCGCGCCCCGCGGGACGGAGGGCCGAGGAAGGCTCGGGACGCCGACGCGGCTGGTCACTGGGACGTGGTCAGCGTGTCGAGCTGAAACGTGGTGGGCCAACTCTGGCGGCGCGACACACTGAGCCAACGGTCTTAGCCGTACATGTTGGAGGCTTGGAAATTGGCACCAACACCAACACAGGGGGTTGCCTCCACAGGGGGAAGATGATCTTCGATTTCGGTGTTGGTGGTACTATGTTGGTCACCTTGGAAGCCATAATATGATCACCATCACCGAGATCGGGATCCTCTTCCCTCGGTGGAGGCACACCGCCGATATAGGTGTTGGTGTCAACTTCTAGGCCTGCGAAAATATGCTGTTTGACGGACCCGGGCACCCGTGTTCTGGGCGCTCCTTGGGGGCCGCGGGCGCGTTCGCGGACCGTCGGAGATTCCCCCGCGCATGACTTTTCCGGAGGCCTCGGAGGCGTGGCCGCAGGGTCTCGACCTCCCACGAGTGCGCTAAAACGGCCCCCAAAGGTCGGCGGTGAGATACAGTCGGGGTGAATTGGAGAGGACACGCGAGAGGACACAAGACTCTTCCGATGGCCACATTTCCAGTGGAACGTAGAGGGCATGGGTCGTGAAACACAGGACACAAGGATATCCTTGTTTTGGCAGGGTCGGCCTAATAATCAAACTCGACTGTAGGGGGGGAAGTGAGAAGAAGGCCTTGTCAGAAGATGGCGGGACTTCTCAGAAGCCCTCCGGCCTTCTGAAAGGTTTTCTGCGTCCTTCGGGATCAGGCTAACAAACTTCCCAGAAGGCCAAGGACTTCCGAACCTTCTGGGAAGGCCCGCCCCTTCTCACTTTCCCCCCGGGCACGCCGCCGAAAAGGGGCAGACCTGGGGAGATCTTGTGGGCCTTCTAGGCAGTCGTGGAGGCCTCATGTGCTGACCCAAGAGGCCCACGCCACTGAAACGCACTAATTCCCCGTAAGATATCCTTACTCGAGAATCCAACACGGCCTGAAGAGGCCCCCAAAGACCTCGCTATGCTGACCCTCACGGACCCCAAGAGAGGACCAAGAGCCCCCCAATGCGACCCCAAGAGAGGGACCACTACCTTACTTGCGTTGGGACCCTTCACCCCGAGGACCGAGACCGCCAGCAGGCCCTCAGGGGACCCTCAAGGGGCCCCAGATGCTCATGAGGTGGGTCTGAAACGTCAAATAACGCCACTCTTGTTCACGGATCTCAGCAGTGGTGTTCCTCAGGAGGATGGCAGCATCGTTGCGGGGAGCTTCAGGCATGGCGTCGAAAACTATTCATTACAAGCTCTGCGTCCTGTATAGGCAGCTCTGGAGTTCACTAGATTTTCCACACACTACGAGCACCCAGGCACATTCGTCGGCACACCACCACGGATACCGATCATGCTTTTGTTCCTCGTGCACTTGTTCCCGCGGTGGAGGATGTCAGAGTATTGGGGTGAGCGGCCCGACGGCTCGCTCCAACTCCATTTCATTTCTCGATCCTGGGATCATCGGCCGGTCCAGGTGTCCGCTGGTGTTTTCCAGGCCACGTCGACCAAATCGGGAAGCTCATTACTAGTGTCTGCAACGTGGGTGGCAGCGCTCTGGCCTTTGTTGATACACTCGGACTGCACCGTAGTCAGCACATGGGCCAATCAGAGAGGTATGTGGGGAGAGGGGCGTAGATCGCTTGAACAGCCAGCTCATGAACATAACCAACGCACATGTTGAGGAGTGATCTCGCCGATCACCTTCTTACACGGAGGATCGGCGGGTCTGTACGCAGCGGGCTCGCGACCTCTTATTGGAACGTCGGCACCTTCGGAAGCAAGAGGGCCAGGAAAATGCTTCGGAGGAGGTTTTAAATACCTTTTGAAATTGTTCGTCTTTCTCGGGCTCTACGGGTGACTGCAAAACGTCACTGGGAGGATACCAAAACACGGAGGTCGGAAGAGCTCGCCAAAGCTGTGCGACGAGGGAGTCACTACAGTGCACATAAACTAACTTGCCTTCTAGCAGGAAGAAGCCGAGGACCCCGTCAGCGTGGGTATCGCGTATTGTTGGCCAACGCGGCGAGAGCGGCACATAGAGCTAACAAGATGACACGGGTATCGGGGGAAGAGGGATGCAATGACACGCACGTCGACATCGACGCACACAATCCGCAAATCGCATCGCACCGGCGAGATGTTCGAGACAGTAGTGTGGCTGTTGATCTGGCACGTCAAGATTGGACAACTGCGAAACTACACATCGGACAAGGAACTTTGGAAACAATGGTTATGGTGGTCGTGTTCCCCTGATGTCTCGCGGGCGATTCTACACGCAACCCGGGTAACAAACGAGTCCGCCCTGAACCTCATGGGCTTCGTTTTGCAGAAAGGTGGGACGATCATTTTCCAAGGCAGATGCGCGGGTTACTCCAACACTTGTTGGTCGTGTGCAGGCTTGGGATCGTACCCCATATATGTGGCGTGCTGCTGACGCACACCGTATACCCAAGCATAACTCTCAAAGCGACTGCAAGGACGAGCGCATCTTCATGTTGCCATGTTCTTTGGGGGAGCGTTTCACAATTGGTGCGGTGTCTTGCTCGAAAGATGCTCCTCTATGGGTTCACGGGGCGTCGCTCTCATGCTCCAGAAAAGTGTACTAGATATTCAAGCTTGTTGCTCTTATCGGAGACATTCTCTTGGGATATATCATATACTTCGTTGCCACGGCGCCACGCACGTTACTCTTTCTCACTGGTTTAACGTGGGGGCCAAACGTCGTGGGGGGTGCTGCGCCGGCGAAGGACGACGCGAGGAGAAAGGTTATGCAAATCGCGAAGGTGTTTGCTAATATTGTGAAGTCGGTTGTGTATCACCATCATCATCATCATCATCATCATCATCATCATCATCATCATCATCATCATCATCATCATCACCGTGACCACCAGCATCATCATCATGATCATCGTAATCATCATCGTCGCCGTCGTCGTCTTCATCACCGTCGCCAGTCATACTATTCATCCTCAAATGCGTGGGCGCGGTTGACTCAGAATGGGCGAATGCGTTACTGATGCACGCAGCACTGACAATCGACCTTGCGAACAATATGTGCTCACAGGCGCCTGAGATAATTACGCCTGTATGTCGCGAGGGCCGGTAAGACATATCCCTCGGAACACAACGCTGGGGAAAATCATGTTGGGGCCCGCTGGTAAAATTTACACCACCCAAGTACATCAGGGAGATGGAAAACATATGTATATATATACACAGACATAATGCGCCAAACATACTTCATTCCGCGATCGAGGGCGCCATCGGAGAAAGGTCAACATCACAACTAAACGGTTCAGGTCCCAACTGGACGGTCTTGATCCCAGCAAAGGCACAGACGGAAGGGTCCAGATCCGAACCACCTTTATTTGAGCTTCTAAGCGCTTGAAACGCTTGGAAGGCGATACGTAGGCGCTTGATAGGCGCTCCCTTGAGGACGCCTCCTCGATTTCGTGCAGCATTCCCGTGGATTCCCCCCAAGGCTTCCTGGGAGATTATTGAAGAATCCTGGTCATTTTCTTGTGGTTCTTGTTTCCTGAAAGATTCCTGCTGGGATTCCTCAGGATTCCTGAAGGAGTATGATCCCTGAGAATTCCAAGCGGATTGCACAACATTTCTGTAGAAATTCTGGGGATTCAGGAAGACTCCAGAGGATGCCTGAGTATTCCGAAGGGGTTCCCAGGAACTCCTGACGGTTTCCTGTTGGATTGTTGGGGGTTCCCAAAAAGCCCCTTTGTTGGATTTCTAGACGATTCCTGAGGGTCCATGAAGGAGTGACTCAGCAGAAAAATCCCAAGACATTCGTGATGATTTCCGGAGGATCCTTGAGGATTCCCAGAAAGGATTCTGGTGGATTCCTGGAAAGGTTACTGAGGGACTCCTGAGAGGTTCCTGAGGATTCCTCGAAAGCTTCCCGATGGATTCCTGAATGAAGCCTAAAGGTTCCCGGCAGATTCTTCCGGATTCCCCTCAGGATTCCTGCGGGATTCCTGAACATTCCTGAAGATTGTATGCGGTTTCTTGAAGATGCCAGAGCAATTGAAATATTCCGAAGGGGAGTCTACCCTCATAGACGTGTTGTAGACGTTGCGTGTACGCTTCGTGTGCGTGTGGCGTACGGTTCGCATGCGTGTCTAAAGCGTTCCGCATACGAGTCGCATGCGTTTCTGTTCACTGTCGGATGTTCGTTCCATGCGTTTCGCAACGCCTGGTGCGAGCACTGTGGACGTGTGTATACACTGCCGTCCTTAACTATGTGCCTAGCGCCTATACTAAACCATCCTGTAGTTCTGAGGACTCGCGTGGAAAGCAAGCGAGATCCACTGGTGGAAGCCATTCGGGTTTCATTGCCAAGACGATCGTGCAATAACAACTTCACGTTGATTTGTTCTTCGGTTGGCATCTGGACCGCTCGGGTTTTCTCAGCCTGGTCGGGAGCTGGACCGTGCGACTGGAATCTGGACCCCCCGGTTGGGATCTGACCCCATCGCAAGTGCCATCAAGGCGATCTTCAACCTAGCGGATCGGCAGTTTGGACGGGACAGGGTGTTCAACAGATGTTTCCTACTTTAAGATTGCCTGGGGACTCTCTGGAATAAGCCAGGGGGAGGGGCATTTTCAGGGGACGTGGCCCGCCCAGCCTTTTTCATATGTGCACGTACCAATCCGATTCGGCAGCAGCTTCACAGTTTTTCGGCGAGCCTAACTGGGACGCGCTCTTGGAGGCTAGTGTCACATTGGCACCACAGGCTTCGTTGATGGCATCTCGAATGAAGTATGGGAGATATGACATGGGTCTATGTTTCAAGCCGTCCAGGCAAGGAGTGAACGGGAGAATCGGGCGGTATTTGTTTTGCAGAATCACGCTGCCACTAAGCTTTCACGCAGCAGCCGGAACGTCATGACTCCTTCTCCGCTCGTAGCATGAGACAAGAAGTCGTATACCCGTGCATGTAGGTCCTGAGCCCCACCGGGCCGAACTCGCCACCAGCGAAGAAGCCCACCGTTGGCACATGACGGCCCCAGACCTCGCTCAGGATCCGGCTCTCGACGCCCTCCTTGCCGTGGAGCTGCTCCCCCCGGGCGCCGCACGACACGAGCACCGCCGCGTCCGGGGGCCGGCCGCCGTGGACCGCGACGTCGTGCTCCGCGCGCGCCCGCAGCTCCGCGAGGGCGTGCTGGCTGCTGAAGCAGTGCAGCTGCAGCTGCATCCCCTCGGCGTACGGGAGGCTGTCTGTGAGGGGCGAGAGCACCAGGTAGCCTTCCTCCGTGAACGTGTGCAGGGGCCTCACCAGGCAGCTCGGCCGCCCCTCCAGCGCCGCCAGCGCCAGCGAGGCCGACGACGCCGCGGCGAGGCTAGACGTCGGGGCGGGATCCACGAAGATGCCAGCCATCGTGAGCCCCTCGCCTGGTACTTCTGGCCCGTTCATGAGTGGCTCCAGGACCTGGCGCGGAGCCTGGCCGTTCAGCCCAGTCACCACGTGGTCGCCGGCAACGCCTGTGATCTTAAGCCAGGGCCCGAAAGGCACGGCACCTTGGCACACCACTGGTTCGAGGCTGGCACCAGGAAGTCGAGCCTGCAGCACCATTCCGAAGCCGCCCCCCGCATGCTCGGTGCCGTCCACAAAGACGTGGTTGCCGACCGGGAGGCCGCCGATGACGGGAGGCGGCGGCCGCCCGCCTGGTGTGCCACCGAGGCGCGCGAACGCAGTGTCAAGGAGCCCAGCCCAGCTCTGCGGGTCCACCGGCCCCGGCACAGGCAATGAGGCGAAGGCCGCAGCGCACACAGGATCAACACCTTCGCGGGCCTCTGCCCAGCTGCCTCCTCGGCCCAGCTCCGGGAGTGTGCCCAAAGCGCCAGTGTGGAAGGGGAACGCTCTGATGCCATCCCCTGCGAGCGCGAGCGCCGAGAGCGCGAACGTCCCGCTCTGCGCCTCCGCCCCGTCGCCGATGACTCCACCCTCAGAGGTGGCGCCCACGACAACGCTTCCGCCAAGGCGTTCCTGCAGGAGCGGCCCGATGGGGGCGGCCCGACGCCCGTAGCCCTTCGCGAACCACAGGGTGAAGCTGGCAGGCTCGCCGCCCAGGCTCTGCAGCAACTTCTCCGCAACTGTGGTGGCCGCCACCTCCGGCTCCACCTCCTCCCGCACGAGGGCGCTGGCCGCCGCAGCACGCGAGCGGCAGCCAACCGAGGAGGACGATGACCGCACCGCTGGGGGCGCCGCGGGCAGAGGTGCTGGTCGGGCGGCGGCGAACCAGGCGCCTGGTCCTGGCCCGAGGGCTCCCGCGAGGGCGTGGCGGCCCAGCGCCGGGCCGCACCGCAGGGGGGTGGCGGCCATCGGGACGGATCTTGGGGGGGGGAGCCCAGGAGCGGGTGGCAGGAGGGCGCGCGCCCTGCCTCGCTTGAGCCACAGTGGCTACGGAATCGAGCGGCAACTCTTGGAATGGGACTCAGCGGGGCCACGCAGAACAAACGCCAGCAGGAGAGTCTAGCACTCTTGATTACGGTGAGGGCACGGGATGAGGAACCATTGGATCAGGAATCCAGGGTCTGGAGGCTGGTAGAACTCCAATCGTGGCTTGGCCAAGAATATCACAACCGCCCTAATCGGATGAGAAATCCTCCAGTGTCTGAAGCCTCCTGAGCGCATCACTTAACCAACGCCAGAACCGTGCCGGGTCGTACGGTGCCCAGCGCATCCTAAACTCATCCGAACCCGCAATGACCGGCAAAACGTTGCATACTCTTCGCTATCCCGGAGCGTGGCTGTCGACCAGCTTTCCTCAAGGGCCCGAGTGAAAGCGGCACCCACAAGCTATGACACTTTGGTGGAGGCGACTTTCCAGATTTTGGGATGTTTCTGGGGCGTGGAAGCCGAAAGTGAACCATCACGAGGGGCTCATCGCAGATGCTGGCTTCAGAGGGCTGGGGAGCTCCACGGAGGGACCAAAACTGGTTCTTCCAAACGATCTGCATGTCTTGGTCTCGCATGTGACAAAACGCATGGCATGGGGATGTTGTTGGAAGGGAGGGCGACGTCTTGGGAAAAGGGGCACATGCACGCACGCTTACCAATCATCAGCCTATATCGTATGTTCAGCATAGGCCGCTTGTATGTGTAGCTTCGCATCCGGCGCCTAGAAATGCTAAACATTGTGGTATCGCAACAGGATGAGTCTGTCCACGTCCAGGCTTGCGCTTTTGGGGGGCTCCAGGAAGGAGACGACGTATTCGACAAAGGCGGACACGTGGCGCCTACCGCAAATCCTTGTGCAGTGCAGTGGCGTGGCGGCAGGATATTGATATCCCTCGTGTCTCGGAGTGTTGAGAGTACTTACTGGAACAGACAGGGGGAACACGTTCTTCGCTCCTCACCGAATTCCGTGGGGATTTTTTTTTGCGTTTGGGCACTACGGAGCCGCAAGCCGATTCTAAACATCACGGAGGGCGGGAGTCCAGGGACTCCCATCAGGGTGTGGGTCACTTCGTATGTATGGCATTGCGTGCAGATGGCTCTGTGTGCTGGGGCAGTGTGAGCTACGTACCCGTCCGCAGTTGCAGTCTCACCTGGCTTCCACGGTGGGGGGGGACGCACGGCGTGCTTCACCTGGGCTGGGTGGGGACGCCTACACATGCTTGCGTGTTGCGTGGAACTGTTTCCCGAGATCGCAACGCAGCGCAAACCCATACGGTAGCTTCTACTCACAGGTGCCATTGCCCAAGAGATCGCACACGCTTTGGCAGTGCCATGGTTCGTCCAAGGTCGCTGTTTTGCAAGATCTTCCAACCATCCCCTGATAGCCTTGATGATGTAGTTCTGGCTTCTGGTTTTCGCATCGTCGATGCCACACCTCATCAGGTAGAGGACCGAAAGCATGATCCTTGGTGGGGGGAGCCAAGACACTCCCAAGCGGGCTGAACACGAGTACGAGACACGAGCGGGGTGAGGGACCACTTGATGGTGCAGCTGGAGGCTTGGGACTGGGCCCTCGAGAACGGCGCTTTCACGACGGTCATCGCTCTCGGAGAGCGTTCGGTGATTCAAGGCCATGGCGGAATCGTAATTAAGAGGACTACCTAAAAGATCGCCAAAGCCAGCCCCGAGACCGTCGGGACGCCTCCTCACGCACGCACCTGTTCTGGGAGCACCAAAAGGTACCGATAACCCTACTCCCTGGACATCTCCTGGGGTGCTTTCTGACCAGGGTTTCAAGGCAAATCCTGCGGTGGCGACGAGGGAGGCCCAGGAGGCCCAAAAAGGGGAAAACGAGGGGAGGGGAGAGGTACGGGTACCTTTTCCTCCGCTGATGCTCGTTAACATCCTAGGCGGGATCGAGCACATCATGGAGAAGTCCAGCCCGGTGGAGCCCCGCAGGTGGATGCGGGAGGCTCTGGCCCTTGCCTCGAGCGCCCGGGGGAGGACCCGCGCCGCAGAATCTCGTTACAATTGCAAGAGGCCTTCTCGTGCCCAAGGGCCTTCACGGGGAGGACGCGGTGGCAAAACATCGGGGAGAGGCGCACGCAGCCAGGAACTTGTCACGAGATCCAGGCTATCCCGCTCGAGGTGCACTGCAGCGTAGATGACTTCTCTCCCTCCCCCTCTCCCTTCCTTCCTCTTCTCCCCCCCCCTCCTCCCCGACCGGTCGGAATTGCCTGGCCGCAGGGCGGGCATCGGCCGGCACCAATTGGATCTGAGGCTGTGGATACCGTTTCTGGTGCCGCTTCTCTCAGCAAATGCTAAGCATGAAGCGGCCTACGAGTGCAATGCTGAGCCAACGAGTTCCCGCTTGCAGGTGCTTTCAGTTCCAGACTTCGAGCGCTGCATGGTAAAGGGGCCCTAGAGGCTCTCCAGAGGTCCTCTGGAGGCCCTAAGAGGCCTCTAAGATGCACCCGCGTCGGCCCAAAGAGGCATTCGATAAAACCCCAGGAGGGCTTGCCAAGATGACCCCGAGAGGCCTCTCAAATGCCTTGAGCCAGCGACCCAGGCACGGTGGCGGGATGGGCATCAGTCCTCTAGATCCACCTCCCCTTTTCCTTGCAAAGGGGTGGGTGCGTGCCAGATCGAAGACGCACTTATTCGTGTAACCACCGCCGCCTCCTGTTTTCTGGAAAAACGCCGATGTGGCCAAATCCAATGGAGCATCAACATATGGTCAAGGTATTTGAAGGGGCTCAGGGACACGCACAAACACACACACACACACACTTATACAAGCAAATTCCAGGATTCTGATATTTTGTTTCCAATAGCTTCTGGATGTTCGTCTTCCCCAGTGCCCATTTCTGATATGTCCATGGGGATCGCCGAGACTGTTGTATCTGTGTGCGCTTCCCTCCTGAGTATCGTCTGTGCTTTCTCCTAGCCGTGGTGGAAGCCCTTGGACGCACGACGCGCGACCATCTCCGCGCTCCCCCCGCAGCGGCCCCACGACGCGCGAAAGCGACGCCCGGGGCGCCTGCGAGGCCTGTCCTGGGGCGGGGGCCAGCATGCAGCATGCAGCATGCAGAAGGGCGGGAACTTCCGCAGGCCCTCCGCGGGCTGAACCGCCCTGGCTTTTGTGACAGCCGTCTCCGTGAAGGCGAGGCCAGGGCGAGGATCGTCTCGGGCGAAGGGGTAAGCCGAGGGTCTCTGAGATCCTGCGGGTCTGGAGGGTGTCTCGGGCGCCGCGGCCTTCTCAGAGCGTTTCTAAACGCTCTGGGAGCGTTCTGGAACGCTCCGAACGGATTCAAGCATCCTCGTCCCAGCCCCGCAAGATCGAAGGCGAGGGCCAGCTCTCTGGAGCTGGGCACATGTGCCGAGGGCGCCGTGTCCACTGGCCAGCTGAAACCACCGCCGCTGGCCAGCGACGATTCACCCACCGCTCAACAGCCCGCCCCAGCGCGACCTGAGGCAGCCACCTGCGCGCCCTGCGCGGGTAGCTTGGGCTGTCGCTACCTCTGCGCCCCGTGCGGGTGGCTCAGCTTCAGCGAACACGCCGCCCGAACCGACATCGCGCACTGCCAGGACACCTCTCCAGACATGCGATGACTTGCATTTTTCGGCGCCGGACCCCCAGAAATCCCCCGACCCTTTCCCCGCGCAAGAGGCCGGCAATTCGACCCGAGCATGCCTGGCCCCTGGGCCCCGCGAAGGCGCCCGGAAACCGCAAACGGGCAAGAACCTCCCGTCGTGATTTTGGTTCGAGGCGAGCGTGTCTTGCGGGCAATACTTCTGTCCATGTCCACTGCGATGTGGAGTTTCGGGTTCCCTTCCCCAGAAACCAGAGGCGCGCTGGATATGGATAAATTTGCCGCCTAGAGGCTCGATTTCTATCCATATCGAGTGCGCCTGGGCCTTGTGTCGCTCCTGCCCAAAAAATCCAAGACGCACTGGATATGGATAAGAACCTTGCCCGCATGTCTCGGCCCGTTGCCGGCGGGAGCGCGGGAATCGTGCGCGCGGCGCGCACGGGTGCGGAGGGGCGCCCGCCAGAGCCTCAGCTGCACCGGGAGGCCCGCGCCCTGCGCCGCCGCGGCGGGGGGCGCGGGCCAGGTGGCGTCGGCGGCGAAGTAGGGCGGCGGGGCGGCGAAGCCTGCCGGGGGAGGGGTGGGGGGGGGTCGGGCTCGGGCTGGAGCTCGGGCTGGAGCTCGGGCTCGAGCGCTCGATCTCGAGCCGGGGCAGCAGCCTCGCAAGCAAGAGCCCCGATGTCTGTGGGCCGCCTGTGGTGACGCCAGGCAGAACATGTCCGAACGCACACCAAGATACTCTGCTTCGAGCGATCCCCACCGACGCCTTCTGCGTTTGCTCTGCGCTGTTCTGCTCTCGACGGGGCGGCGTGGCGTCGTGACGCCTGTCACTTTTGATATATTGTCGAGAAGGTGGCTGTTGCACATGATTGTTCGTATGTCAGCCTTACGTAAGCGCGGATGTTGCGCTTGATACGGCGCCATCAATCTAGCGAGCTCAAGTCTCCTATGTTGAAGTATGCTCTGCCCCATGTCGCTCCATGATGCCACTTCATGTTTTCGACTGCCCAGCGTGACGTCGAGACGCTTGTCTCGTCTGATGGGTCGTCCAATCGGTGGTTGCTGCGCCTGTTTGTTCCTGTGGCCAGCCTGACCTCGGCGCGCACGTCGCGTTTGATGGGGCGCTGCTAATCGGTCGGCGTTACGTTTTCATCCCCCAACAACTGTGTGCGACTCCGTTCTGCATGAACCATCAATCGCAAGGTATGTGATGTTCGGCCCTCTTCGGCTCACGTATCTTACTTCCTGTTAGTGTATGAATTGATGCGCAGTACACTGCTCGATATTTGCCACGTGCCCAAGCAATACAACAATGATCATGATGTATGGCTGCTTTGTTGCATGCTGTCATACTAGGATATTAGCGGGCACATGCTCACACGTCGGTTATACATGTAATGCTCTTTGATGCTGACGTCTGTTGAGGTGTGTCTTGCCAAAGCATCGTAATTCCGAGTATGGTACCTTGTCTAATGCTAAACCACCTGCTGGGTACTGATCTCCAGTTGTATGTGCACCTTACGCTGTATTAGTCCTTCGTCTGCTAGAGTCTGTGTTAAGCATACTTCGATAAGTTCTGCATCCGTCAACTTTTTTCTGCTGAACGCACTCGTGTTCAGTTAAAGCAGAATGCGTGTGCGTTCCTATTCTGTCTTGAAAACTAGTGTGTCTTCAGTAAAGCAGGTGCAGCAGCTCTGAATGCACTCCCTGTGCTAGTATGATGTGCTGGTCATGGTCTGTTCCACACTTGCATGTAGGCCTCTACCATATGCCATCATAGTTACTGGCATGTACTCCTTGTTACTTGGTTTCATATCGTATTACATGCTATGGTATTGCCTGGTATTTTTTGCGGGGTATAGATGTATTACCCTGTTCGAGTAGTCGCACTTGACATGAATTTCGGTTGCACTATAATGAATGCGGCTCGACTCTGTTGTATTGTCGTTCGCGGCGATACGTCATACGTTGCAATGTTCTCTTACATGGAATTAATCAATGTGCGTGTTGCTCTCATTCCTCACGCGCTTCTTGGTGTTCTGCGATGCGATGCTTGGGTATGTCATGCTATGCCATGCCATGTTATGCCATGATTTGCCATACTGTGCTATTGGTGTGATGATGTATTAGATCATGGTGTGTTACGTTACGCTCTGCTGCTATGCTCTGTCATGCTATGTGTAGTATGTGTTCTGTTCTGTTCTGTTCGTTGAAGGCGCGGGGGGGCGGGATCATCGGGAATCATGGGTGGACCTGGGGATCTGGCGGCCGCGGTATGAAGGCTCGGGGGGCGGACCTGGGCATCTGGCGGCCGCGGAATGCAAGGGTGGGCAGGTCGAGAGGCCTGCTCTTAAAACATCCAGGCAGGGAGGTCGGAAGGGCCGGGGCAGAGGGAGTCGAGGTGGGCGGGTCGATGAGGGGAAGTGCAGCCCACACTGCGCTCCTTCACCCCTCGGGCGGGGAGGGGGGCTGCTGCGCGCTGCAGAGGTCCCCGGTCGGACAGGAGGCGGCTGCGGGCTGCGGAGGTTCGGGCGGCCAGGGTCGGCTACAGGACGGCCCGGCCTCCTGCTCCTCCTCCGTCCCAATGCGCTCCCCTCCGTCCGAGAGGGGCAGGTCCCCGCGGCCTGCTCGCCCCTCCCCCCCTTCCGCCATTCAAAAACAAAACGTCGCGTCACCTCATCGCGCTCGCGCGAGGGCTGGCCCAAGGCGCGAGGGGAAGCGGCCAGCATCAGCGCATTGCTCGGACAAGCCTGGGGGAGGAGGAGGAGGAAGGGCGGAGGGAGCAGATCGGCATCACCGCTGCCAGTACTCAGGGTCTCCAGGGGCCCGGGCACCAAACGCGCAGCACCCGCAGAGACAGGGTTGGACCTCGCACTCAGGGGCCGAAGCGACGCAGTGCGCGCCCCCCGTGCATCAGCTCCTGCCTCGCGGCCGCGCCCTGGTTGGATCCGCGAGGCTGGGCGTCGGGCCGCTGTACTTCCTGCCCCGGGGTGCCCCCCCGCCTTCCTCCCCTTCCACCTTGCCCTGCCCTCCCCCCGCCCACTCCTCACGTGCGCCGGCCCGCCCCCCTCGCGCCCTCCGCCCCCCCACGACTCGGGAGGAAGGAGAAGGGAGAAGGGAGGAGGAGGAGGAGGAGGCGGAGGAGTAGGAGCAAGGAAAGGTGGCACCAACACCGCCAGGGCGAGGAGATGCGACGGGCAAGGGGGGTCTCCCTGGTGGTGTGATCCCCCCCTCTCGCTCGAGACATCCCCTGTCCCCAGCTCGGGGAGGCATCGTGGACCTCCTCGCTGGGGGTGGCACCCTGGTGGTGTTGGTGTCGCTTCTCCTCCCTCCGAAAGGAGGAGGAGGAGGATGAGAATGAGGAGGAGGCGGAGGAGGAGAAGGAGGAGGAGGCGGAGGAGGAGGAGGAGGAAGAGTGCCGCGCAGCTCCCTCCGCGCACGGAGCACGTGGAGGACACGCGATGGCTGCAGGCGCGGAAGGGCCGCAGGCTGACCGTCCCCGGGAGGGCCGAACGCTGGAAGGGCACGCGGGTGCGGCCACGCGCGTGCCCAGCTAGATATCCTCGCTGACGGGCCAGCGCACGCAACGCAGAGGGTCTTCACCAACCCAGGGCTGCAGTTGTGCTCCTGTGCCGCCTTCTAGAGCTGCTGGTGGTCGATCCACTCATAGAACTTGCAGGTGTCGACGTGGGCCAGATCCCTCGGGGTCATGGCTGCCAGCTCCAGCGGGCGCGCGCCTGCGGCGGGGGCCGCGCCGCTGGGGCTAAAGCTGCTGCTGCGCGCCCGCCGCCGCCGCCGTGTTCCCTGCAAATACCGTCGCCAGAGGGCCCACATCGGATGCCTCAGCCGCCAACTCTCGCACTGCGGTCTGCGGCACCCGCGGCCACCGGCCCGCCGCTGGGCCGCGCCTCTCTGCCTGCCCACGCTCAGCGGCTGGCTGAACATCGACCTCCAGCTCGGCGTCAGAGTCCGAGTCGATCGCCCCGCCGTCGATTGGGCAGCACCCCCCCCACCGATCACGAGGCTTCTTCTTCACCGCAGGCTCCTTGAGGGCGAACGCGCCTTCCACCGCCTGCAGCTGTTGCGTGGTGGCCTCCCAGGCCCTTGCGAAGTTGCCTGCCGAGCGCGCTGGCGGGAGCGCGCGCAGCCGAAGGAAGAGCCCGCGCATGGCATCCACGTCGCCAGCCGAGACCTGCAGGCGTTCCCAGGTGGCCTTGGCAGCTGCGGCCTCCCCCTCCAAGGCGACAAGCCGCTCGCGTGCCTCGGCTCTGCGGTCCTCGGCCTCCTCCAGCTGGTCCGCAGCCGCCTGCGCTGCCGCCTCAGCCTCTGCCGCCGCTGCGCCAGCTGCCTCCACGGCCCTGCGAGCTCCAGCGGCCTCGCGCTCCACTTTGCTAGCCGCGTTGGCCGCTCGTCGCAGTCGAGCAGCTGGCAACATCCCTGCCTCCTTGTCCGCGGCCTGGGCTGCTGCGGCCTCCAGTTTCTTGGCTGGAAGGGCGGCCGGCCGCTCGGCCGCGAACTCATCTCCATCGCCACCCAGGCTTGGGAAGGCGTGCCTCGGGCCGCCGCCACCTTTGCCTTTGCCGCCCTGGTTGCTGCCTCCTCCTCCTCCTGAGTTCGAGGCGTTCGCCGCCAGAGCCCCTGCCACGGCGCGTGCCTTGCGTCGGCCCTTCTTGCCCGTGCCCGCCTGGACGAAGCCCTCGGCGCCAGGCTCAGGCTGGAAGGGCTACCACCTGGTCGCCCAAGGAAGGTCTTGACTTGGCGGCCGAAGCGCCGAGCCCTCGTGCAGTAGCTCCACTGGCCGCAGGGGCACACCCAGTAGGCACCGTCCCCCCCGCCGCCGCGATCGCCAGGAGCAGCAGCGCCCCGCGCGGGAGGCGCCATCCCGCCACGGCCGCGCGCCGCGCCCCAGCTCGCAAGTTCAAAACTGCACTCGGGCCCAAAAGCGGGGGGCCCCTCGCGCTCCACACGCCGCCCACGACTCGCGGTCGTCAGGCGCTCCATGGCCTTGAGCCAAAATGGCTACGGCCGGTGAGGCCCTTGGAAAAGAAATCATTGGGTAAGAAATCCAGGGTCTGGAAGCCCGTGGAAGTCCAAGCGTAGATGGGATACCACCGCCACCCTCATCAGACAAAACATCCTCTGGACACATTCCTTACCGAACGCCCCCACCGTAGGGAAGGGCCCGGGCATCCGACGCCTTGAGTTTTTCAAGACGGGGTCGCAAGAAGTCCCGGCCCTTTTCCCAAGGCTGTTTTTTTCACCGAGGCTTTTTGTTGATGCGCCCAGGGCCCGTCGAGGGTCCCATTGGGCCGACGTGTTTTTTCACCACACGGGCACGCTTGCCCAGACATCCGACGATCTAGTGTTTTCGATGCGTGTAAGTGGCCCCCCGAAGGTCTCGACAACTTCTGTAAAGCTGGATCTTTATCCTGCTTCGTTGTGTGACGGTCCAGGGCCGGGCAAGGACCCCCAGAGATATAACAAAACCCGCACGCCGTGATATTTTTCGAAACACGAGCATGTCTGGGGCGGGGGGGGCGGAGCCGCAGCAGCAGCAGCGCACGGTCGTCGCTTTACGATTAGCGGCGGCGGATTGCCGTCCCTTGGGTGCGCGCCGCTGTGGTGCTCGTCTCCTGCGCCACCGAACCAGCGTACCATATAATGGCTCGCTTGTGCGCCTTTGCTTGCACCAGTGGGTTCATCGAAGCCTGTCCACACATGTGAGCTTACAGTAGCAGCAGCTCAACTGCCCTGATATGCACAGCATGAACCCGTAGCGTGCTGACGCGGATCTCAACACGCAGACTGGAAACGTATGTTCTCTGGCGCGATGCGTTCGCCAAAACGTGGGCCAAACACGTGCCGAGCCAACACGCAACGTGTTCGAACAGAACGCTTGAAACACGGCACGTGTTGCGCTTCAGCTCGGGAGTATCAGGCCAGCTAAGGTGGAACATGATGTTGGTTGATGATGTTATGATGATGTTATGATGGTGCTGCTGATGCTGATGATGATGATGATGATGATGTTGTTGATGATGATGATGTTGTTGATGATGATGATGATGATGATGATGCTGATGATGATGATGATGATGATGATGACGAAGTTGTTGATGTTGGTACTGCCGGTGATTATGATGATGACGCTGATGATGAAGGTAATGATGACGACGATGCTGATGATGCTGATAATAATGAGGTTGTTGAGATTGTTGATGCTGTTGTTGATGGTGTTGACGTTGTTGCTGATGTTGATGCTGCTTGCTGACTACAGGGCAGCAGCAGCAGCAGCAGCAGCAGGCTGCCACAGCCGAGCGGCAGCGGCCCGCCGCCTGGCAGCGGCGCCCCCCCCTGCAGCAGCGCCCTCGCCGGCCTGCCCGCGGAGGTGCCCGCCTGTAGGGGCGGCCGCTCCTCCTCGTCCTCGCCCTCTTCCTCGTCGTCGTCCTCCTCCTCCTCCTGCTCCTCCTCCTCCTCCTCCTCCTCCTCTGCCTCTGCCTCCGCCTCCTCCTCCTCCTCCCCGTCCTCCTCCTCCTCCTCCTCTCCTCCTCCTCCTCCTCCTCCTCCTCCTCCTCCTCCTCCTCCTCCTCCTCCTTTGGGGGGGGGAAAGGGCAGCCCCGCCAGCGTGGCCTTGGCCCCACCGGTCGCCCGACCCCCTGCCTGCCCCCCAGTTGAGGAAATCTGCTCCTGACAGGGCTCGGCCTGACCGGTGTTTTCGGTGTTCGCTCTGCGCTCACTTCCCCGAATGTCTCGGGGATCGTCTGACCTGGGTCAGTCCAGACCCGTGTCAGCAGGAAACCAAAAACTGCAATGCAGGGAAAGAAAACTGCAGTTTAAAACTGCAACGCAGGTCTTCACAAACCCGGGTCTACCAATATGTGCGGCCGCCTCGCGGCCACGAGCGGCTCGCTGACCCGGGTCAGCAAGAGGGGGTCTTCGCAGGATCCTGCAGGATCCGGTGCCGTGGCTGACCCCCGTTTGCATTGACCCCCGTCTCAAGGCTCCCGAATGTCGTTGTAACACCGTAGCCCGGGTGGCCTGGACGCGCTGTGCGGACTGCCCGTCACAAAAATCGTTCCGGGTTCGTGTTCCCTGCCGCCCGCGGCCGCAGAACGCGCACCCTTCGCCCGACGCCGACGGCGACCCCGCACCCCCAGACGACCGCTGCCCCCCCCCCGCCCGCAGGTGGTGGAGGCCCCCCCCGTGGACGCAGAAGAACGGGCTGCGAGGGAACGCCAAAGGACATAAGAGTACAGTAGGGGCCAGGCCAAAAGAGACCTTCCGCAAGAGACCCAACCCTGAGGCCCGAGGACGTCCATTGATCTCTGCTGTGGGACTTTCACGCTTGCCATACCAAAACCATCGAAAGCCAAGAAACCCAGGGCACCCTGGAGGCGAGCAGGGTGTTTCTTGGCATGGGTCTCCACTGTATACCATGCGCCCCCTGGCAGGCGCACGGCCAAACCGAACGACGGCACAGACACCTGCGAGTACATCGTGACCCTAGCGGGATGGCAAGATAACGCCCGCCACCCAACAAAAGAACATATGCAACGAGCTTCCTGAACGCGCGCCTCGCCTCTTGGGGGACCGACGCACATTGTGCTGCCTCTTCGGGGGGCCTTGTCTGTCCCGTCGCGCCCCTATCTGCGTCGAATCCGTGTCGAATTCGTGTCGCACCCGTTGAATCCGCGTCGGACCCCCGTCGAATCCACGCCACATTCGCGCTGAGCCCGTATCCAAGTCGCGTCGGGCGCAAGAAAAAACACTAATTTGGGGGACAGGCGAGGTCCCCCGAAGATGCAACGTAATGGGTGATGCCGATGCGACTGTTCGTGGGCCCCCGCGACGCCCGGACCCAACGCCCCACCGCGACGGCGCCAGGCCGTCCGTCACACCGCCGGCTGCGGGTAGCCGGTGCTGCGCGGCGACGGAGAGATACGATGCGAGCGGGCCGAGCGCAGTCACGCGTCAGCCACACACGAAGCCGCGCCGAGACGGCGCATCGGCACAGAAACACTGCGAGCATGCACATGTGGGAAAGCATAGGAGAAGTAAATACGCCATGCATGGGGAACGAGATGAGATCACCAGCAGTCTTTGTACTAGGTGACCTGCTGTGAATTAACCTGCAAGCGGCACTTGCAAAAAAAAGGAGAACGTACGCCTGGGAATCTTCGACTGATCAACCTCGCGACGGAGAGGGAGGAAACGAAATCAGGAGCAAGAAACCGATGCGACTCCGCGCCCCAGACGACCCTTGGGATGTCCCCCCCGCCTAGCAGGTGGTGGAGGCCCGACCCTCCCGTGCACCAAGACCAGAGCCGCCACCACCGCCCTTTGGTGCACCTCCACGCGCTGCAGTGCACCGACCCTCTGGATGCCCCCCTGAGCATCGTTTCAGAGATCCCTATCCCCACGGGCGTGGTCAGTGTCCCACTGGCCCATTTTGCCGATTTAGATGGGGATATATGGTGTTCCCTTCGAGTTTCGAGGAGCATATCCCCAACTGGGGTGGTGGGGTGGTGGGCATTGGGATTGGGATGGGGATGGGGGTGGGGATAGGGATCGGTTGAACGATGCTGACCCCGCCTCCCCCAGCAGCTGCTAGATGCCCCTCGCAGGCTGCGGTGACATGACTTGTCCAATGATGGACTCTCAGACATCCCGACTCATTCCCCAAAGCAGGTTATTCATCCTGGGCCGCTCTTTGACGGTCCCGGGCCCCACGAGGGCCCTTAAGGGCCGAAAACCGAGTACAACAACAACAACAACCACAACAACCACAGCCACAACCACAACCACAACCACAACAACAACAACAACAACAACAACAACGACAACACCAACAACGACAACACCAACAACAACAACAACAACAACAACAACAACAACAACAACACCAACAACACCATCAACCACAACAACATCAACACCAACACCAGAACCAACAACAACATCACCAACATCAACACCACCACCAACAACAACAACAACACTAACAATAACAAAAACAACAACAACAACAACAACAACAACAACAACAACAACAACAACAACAACAACAACAACACCAACGACAACGACAACGACAACGACACCACCAACAACACCAAAAAAGATCGTACTACGCTCTTATCTGCTCGTGCGTACCTCACCACGTATATCCCAACCCCCCGATACCCGCCCTCTTCGTCTTCGCTCGTACCCCCTCTGGGGGGCACATCTTCCTGACCTGCCAGGAAGACCAGTGAGAAAGGAGAGAGAGAGAGAGAGAGAGACAGAAATAGAGAGGGAGAGAAAGAGAGAGAGAAAGAGAGAGATAGACAGAGAAAGCGAGGAGGAAAGGAGTGGGGGAAGGGAGGGAGGCAAGGGACAAGAGGGAGGGAGCAGAACTGTGGACGAGAGAAGCAGCAATGGGGCCACTGAAGGGCAGCAGCGGGGCCACGAAGGGCAGCAACGGGGCCACTGAGGGCACGAGCGAGCGGGGGCCACGAAGGGCGCATACATGGGCCACCAAGGGCATCAACGGGGCCACAATGGGCAGCGATGAGGGCCACTGAGGACAGCAGCGGGGCCACGAAGGGCAGCAATGGGGCCACTGAAGGGCATCGACGGGGCCACAGAGGGCAGCAAAGGCGCCACGAGGCGCTACGCTGGGGCCCAGGGGCAGCAACGGGGCCACTGAGGGCGCAAGCGACGAGGAGGGACAACGAAGGGCAGCGTCTGGGCCACTGAGGGCAGCAGCGGGGCCACAATGGGCAGCAGGGGGGGGCACAAGGAGCTACGCTGGGGCCACGAAGGGTAGTTATGGGGCCACTGAGGGCACGAGCGACTGGGGGACACGGAGGGGGAACACATGGGCCACAACGGGCAACGAGGGGGCCACATTGGGCAGCGGGGGAGGGGCACACGCGGCTACACTTGGGCCACGAAGGGCAGCAATGGGGCCACTGAAAGCACGATCGGCTAGGGGGGGGCCACGACGGGCGTAAGTATATATATATATATATACGCGTAAGAGTATATGTATATATATATATATAAACTAGTGTGGACCCGTGGATTAAATCCACGAGGTTGTGAGGATCGAGTGTTGGTGGCGCGCGCCGCGTTTGGCGTTTGCACTTGGCGCCGACGTTCCTTGGGAGGGTTGGCTCCAGCGTGGGGGGGGGGGGGGGGGGGCGGCGTAAGAGCACAATCCTCTTTGGAGGATTCCGGGCCCCAGGAAACCTCCAATACGGGCTAAATGTTCCAGGAGAATGTGATGGTGCCCGTGGGGGGTTCCGGAAAGCCGGGTTCTCTGACGAAGACGTTGAAACATCGTTCAGACGGGTGTAGAGGTGTCCAAAACGCTGTTCGAGGCCCCCGAGAGCAGTCTCAAATAGTCCCAAGAAGGAACAATCATCGACATTCAGTAACCACTGGGGTAACGCAGCGGCCCAACAGGGCCGCAAGACGGCCCAGGTGGCCCTCAATCTACGACGGCTTCCACTGGGACGGGAGACCTGGACGGGCACATGGAGTCCTTCGTCGTCGTCGTCTTCGTCGTCTTCGTCGTCGTCGTCGTCGTCGTCTCCGTCGTCGTCGTCGTCGTCTCCGTCGTCGTCGTCGTCGTCGTTGTTGTCGTCGTCGTCGTCACTGCCGCTGCCGTCGCCGACGGGCAGCGCCAGGACCACGGGAGTGTAAAACATTGTTTTTTTGGGCCTGCGAATGGCCTCTCGCCTCTCGTCCGCCCCTCTCTCTGGGAGGCAGTTTTGAAGCCTCTAGGGGGCCGTTTGGGAGCTCTATAGGGGGTCTCTTGGGCCTCTTGGGGGCTCCTCGGGGCCCTCTTGGGCCGTGTATGGCCCCTCTTAGGCCGTCTTGGGGTCGTCTTGGGCCACCTTGGGCGCCACTTGGGCCGTCTTGGGGCCATCTTGGACTCTCTTGGGCCCCTTTTCAACACCTCTTGGAGTCCTCTTGGGCCGTCTTGGGCGCCCCTGGGGCCGTCCTGGGGCTGTCTCCGCCATCTTGGGCCCTCTTGGGGGCCGTCTTGGGCAATCTTGGAGGCCTCTGGGGCTGTCTTGGACGCTTGAAAAGGAAAATGTCGAATCTGTTGAAAATGTGCATTTTACGAAGGCAATGTGGCCATTTTGCTTGATGGAACCCTCATGGGGGAGCCCTCGGACCCTCCAGGAGCCGTCCGGGGGCGTCTTTGGGGCGTATGAGGCCGTCTGGAGAACATCTGGGGCAGCCTGAAAGCCGTCTTGGGTCGTCTTGGGGCCTCCGTAAGCCGTCTTGGGTTTTTTTTCTGGGGAGCTCCGACGCCGTGTCGAGCCCCTCCAGGGGCCTTCTGGTGCCGTTTTGGAGACCCCGGGAGGCTCGGGGAGCCAGGGGCCCACGCAAACCCACAAGGCCTAATTCGGATTTATTTGAATGGATATATATATATATATATATATATATATATGGGCCACAACGGGCAGCGAGGGGGCCACTGAGGGCAGCAGCGGGGCCACGAATGGCAGCCATGGGGCCACAGAGGGCACAAGCGACTGGAGGCAACGCCGGGCGTATGTACGTATATATATATATATATATATATATATATATATAGATGTTGGCGGTGCCCGGTGCGGAGCGACCGCCCCCCCCCGGGGGGTTTCGAGCTGGCGCCATTCCCGATGCGAGCCTGCACGAACCCCCCCGGTAAACACGACCTCCTCTGGTAGGCTGCACGAACCCCCCCGGTAAGGACGCAACCCCTCCGTAAGCGGCGCGCTCCCGGCACGCGCGAACCCCAGCCCCGACGCGCGAATATTACCAGGACGGGCCGGAACACGGCGGCGGCATTGCATCCCAGGGCCGTGCCGGAACACGGCGGCACTGTTCTTCCTTACGCGGCCGTGCCGTCGACCCCCCACAGCGGCTCTCGGGAGTTGCGCCGCAGCCTCTCGTATTGTGGCCACGAGCCACAATACGAGAGGCTGCGGCGGAACAAAGGCGAGCAGACGCGAATAGAGAACACAAGGCGAGCACACGCCACACTTCGACAGGGAGCCACCCTTCCCAACCGCCCCCCTGCCCCCCCCCCCAACCCACCCCCCACTCCCACCCCCCCACTCCCACAGGGGGGGGGGGAGCCCAGGTAGACGCAGTGCGGCCTGCACGAAACCCCCCGGTAAAGCGACAGGGGAGGACCCAATGCGGCCTGCACGAACCCCCCCGGTAAAGCGGCAAGGGGGGGGTGTTCTAAGCCGCTGGCGGCACCCGGTGCGGGCTGCACGAAACCCCCCGGTAGTGCACGAAACCCCCCGGTAGTGCTGGGGGGGGGGTTCGTGCCACGGCGCACCGCCGACATATATATATATATATATATATATATATATATATATATATATATATATATATATATATAGGTGTGTGTGTGTGTGTGTGTGCAGGCCCAAAAAAGAGCCCACGCTAGGGCAACGGAGGTCAACTTTGGGGCCATTGAGGGCCCGAGCGACTGGGGGACACGAAGGGCGAACATATGAGCCACAAAGGGCAGCAATGGGGCCACTGAGGGCAGCGGGGGGAAGGCACACGCGGCTACACTGGGGCCACGAAGGGCAACGATGGGGCCACTGAGGGCACGAGCGACTGGGGGCCACGAAGGGCGTATATATATGGGCCCAAAGGGCAGCGATGGGCAGCTAAGGGCAGCATCGGGGCAAGGAAGGGCAGCGACTGGACCACAAGGGAAGGGGCCACGAAGGGCAGCAATGAGGCACAAAGGGCGCGAGCGAGCATGGGGCACGAAAGGCATGACCCTGACGGGCGGGCCGAGCGGGCGAATCGATCCTGACTTTTGCGTGATTAGCCAGGAAGTTTCCAGCGAGAGAGCGATTCCCAAGTAAATTTGAGGACGTCCCCAGCGAACGCGCGATTCCTGAATGGCCAGAGCGCGGCGCCTGAGTAAACTGTGTGAAAGTCTCAGGCGGGAGCGCCATTCTCGAGTAGGACTGGAGAAAATTTAGAGAGAGTTGAAGCGGGAGCCGTTGTTGTCGTAAACCGTGGGCCAAGTGCACAGTTTGAGGAGGAAGACTTTCCCTGATAAAAACCCGGGTGCGGGCGCCGGGAGGGGCTCTTCAATTGAAGAAATACCATGTGCACCGGAGGGGGGGATCAACAACAATTATTCTTCAGTTGTGAGAATTCCACAACAACAACAACAGCAACAACAACAACAACAACAACACCAACACCAACAACACTAAAAATAACAACACCAACACAAACACCAACACAACCACCACCACAACCACCAACAACAGCAACAACAACCCCAACACCACCACCACCACCACCACCAACAACAACAACAACTCCCAACCCTCCTGCCGCGGTGTCCCGTTCAAGAATGGGGCACTGCGGTCGCAACCTTCGTTCCTTCCCGCCTCCCTCCTCCTGTCTTCCCGCCTCTGATCTGCCTGCTACCCTGCCTACGTACCTGCCTCCTGCCCTGCCCACTACGTGCCTGCCACCCTGCCTGATTGCCATCCCCGGGGGGCGGCGATCTGCGAAACCGCCGCCACTCTCGAGGGCTGCTTGGGGGTCTAGCGGGGCAGCACCCCCACGCAACCCGAAACTCGACCTCGCCATCCCATGGGGGGGTGCGATCTGCGAAACCGTCGCCACCTTCGGGGGTTGCTGGGGGGCCCAGCGGAGAGACGCCCCACGCAAATCGAAATCACACTGCGCCATCGCCGGGGGCCTGCGATTTGCGAAACTAGCTGTCGCTACTTTCGCGGACGGCTTGAGAGATCAGCGGGCTGACGCCCCTTGCGAACCGACATTCAACCTCGCCATTCCTTGGGGGCGGCGATCTGGAAAAGTGTCGCCACTCGCGAAGGCTGCTGGTCGCAAACCCACACTCGACCTCGCCATCACTGGGGGGCTGCGATCAAGAAAACTGCCGCCACCCTCGGAGGCCGCGGGGGTCCAGCAGAGCGACGCCTCACGCGAACCTGAATCAGACCTCGCCGTCCCTGGGGGCTGCGATCTGGGAAATGGTCGCCAGTCTCGAAGGTTGCCGCAGTCCAGCGACACGGCGCCCCGCGCAGACCTGAATCATACGTCGCCGCCCTGAGCCCCCGTCATAGCCAACACCGTGGGCCACAGGGTGCCCCTCGGCGGCGGGAACCACAAAACGACTCAACCTGGACTCTGGAGACGGCGCCTGCCTCGTAACGTAGGACGGCGACACTAAGGAGCTCCTTGCTGCTCCCGGGCAGGCTTTGCTGCCCGGCGAAACTGGGCGGAGGACGGGAGAAGCGTGCAGACGACGACGACGAACGCGCAGGCGGGCAGCCGGGGCCAGCGGGGCGGGCGGGCTGGCGGAAGGGGGGCCGGGCGGAGACAGCAGGCAGGGAGCAGGACGGAAAGGGGGCAACGAAGAGGAGGAGAGGGGAAGCAACCGCAAGCAGACAAGGCAGGGAGCAGAAGGGAAAGGATGAGGGGGGGGAAAGACGAGGCCGAGGGGAGGGGAAACAACCGCAAGCAAACAGGCAGGGCCAGGGCCCAGGGGAAGAATACCTCCCGCGACGAAGCTCTACCCTACGGCTGCGACCTGGGCGGGGTGGCCGACCGAACCCAGCACGCTGCGGCTTGGTGGGGTGCGCCCTCTGCGGGATCACCCACCTCCCTGCCGAGGAAGGACTGGACGGCGCGTGTGAAGGGTCGCCAACGCAGCGTTGGCGCAAAGGCGCGGGGGGCGCCCGTGCTGCCCAGCAAAGGCGGTGGGGGGAGGAACGTGGGGCGCCAGGCAGCGCCAACGGGACCTCACACGGCGTCCGCCGTGAAGGCAGCCGTGGCCGCGGCCAGGCGGGCCGCTGCCACCCCAGCCCCTCGAGACTGCGTCTGGGGACGCCGCATCACAGCCATCGAAAGTGGAGACGTTCTCGCAGATCGCCATCCCTCGGGGGGGGGGGCTGCGATCTACGAAACTGTTGCCACTTTCGAAAGCTGCTGCGGGGACCCAGCGGAAGGACGCCCCACGCGGAGCGACATTAGACCTCGCCGTCCTTGGGGGGGGGGCGCGACCTGCGGAACTGCCGTCACTTTCGACGAAGGCTGCCTGGAGCGCCAGAGCGACATGGCGCGTGCCGCGCTGCTTGTCCAGCGCGCAAAGTGTGAAATGACCGCCACCCTCTTTCCTCAAGTTGCTTCTTTTGCTGTCGTCCTCGTCCTACCTCGCCGTTTCACTGCTGCTGTCGCGCCAACTGTTCGGCCACTTCTTCCGTCCTGTTCCTGCCTCTCGTTCCCATTCCCACTTTCTCTCTGAGCCTGGATCTCAGTCCTTCTCCTTGTTTGCTATTATGTGAGTCGCGCAAGGCGCGGGCCTCCCATATAGACTGCACAACCACTGACATATCCTGACATGTTAGCTCATCTGCCACACTCTTCTGGACCAGCTCCCCTTGTCATTTAGTGCAGATGGGTTGGGTATGTCGCAGGGTATGACTTTCACGACGCGAGCCCTCCCTGTAAAATCCGCGCCACCACAGACGCCCTGCGGTACACCTCCACACGGCCCGGGCGCTGGGGGGCGCCCCGCGGAGCTCGGGGGCGCCCACGTCTGGCGTAGCGGGGGGGGCGCCCGGCTGCGGCAGACCGGCGCTCTGGTCCTGATCACGCTGGTCGCACCCCCGCCCCCCCCCCCGTCGCGGCCAGGGGGGCGGGGGGAAAGCGGAGGAGGGGAGGAGAGGAAGAGCGCGGGAGCGAGGGGGAACAATGAGGGCGAGAGGGAGGGGGATAGGGGAGGGGGAGGACCACGAGCCGAGGAGGGGGGATGCGGCGGGAGGAGGAGGAGGAGGAGGAGGAGGAGGAGGAGGAGGAGGAGGAGAGGAGGAGAGGGGGAGGAGGAGGAGGAGGAGGAGGAGGAGGAGGAGAGGAGGAGGAGAGGAGGAGGGAGGAGGAGGAGAAGGTGGGGCGGGTGGGGGGGCGGGAGGAGGTGCAGGCCTCGGAGCTCGCGTCGGACACCGAGTAGGTGCTGGCCCCGCTGCAGGGGTCGCCGCCTCGGGGCGCCAGGACCGAGCGCGGATGGACCCGAGGGGTCGTCGTCGACGTCGACGACGTCGTCGGTCGTCGGTCGCCGGTCGTCGGGGAAGCACAAAACAGCAACAGCAGCAGCAACAACAACAACAACACTACCACCACCACCAATAACAGCAGCAGCAACAACGCCAACGCCAACACTGACATCAACAACAACAGTAGCAGCATCAACAACAGCAACAACAATACCATGAACATCATCAGCAACAACAGCAGCAGCAACACCAACCACAACAACATCAGCAACAACAACAACAACAACACCAACACCATCAACACTAACATCAACGACGACAGTGCCGGCAACAAAATCAGCATCAACAACAGCAACACTAACAACACCAACACCACTTGTGAGATCTTCTTCCTCGATGCACGTGTTCGCTTTGATATCTTTTGGTCATGCCAACTCCTGGGCGTACGTCGGTCGGAAGAAGTAGGTACACATAAAGTAGGACGGCGGACAAAGTGGGTTGTGTGTATGCCCTCCCAGATAATAACACCGCACAGCAAAGGCACACTCGGTTTATATATCTGTGCGTATATATAATCAGATAAATGTGTATATAGATATACATATCTATATACATATAGATATGTATGTATATATATATATATGTGTATATAATCTTGAAGTAGGAGGGCGCTAGAAGTAGATTGGGACCTGGGAGTCCCAAAACACTTCCGTTCAACGACTTGCGTGTCAGCCAAAGCGCGGGCCGGGCGGGCGGACCTCGACGGTGCGGCCGGTCGAGCGGGTCCGGCAGGCGGGCCCAGACAGGGCAGGCAGGGTGGGCGGAGCGACTCGGGCTGGTCGGGCGGGCGGGAGATCAAAGCGGGCGGGCGGCTTTCAATCAACCGACCTGTCGGACACTGCGCCGAGTTTCTTCAGAAGCGTCGGAGGGGCGTCACCCCCGCCGACAGCCCCACGTCGACCCCCGTCGCGGGCAGCGACCGCGCGCCGAAGGCGCCCCGAACCCCGTCGCGGCGCGACGACGAGGCGAGGTTGACCCCTGTCGGGGGGTACCCACCCACGCCTATTAAGAAACCCAGACTAACGTTGCCATCCCTCGGACGTCCATGCCGCGTGGATTGGTCGGTGTCCTGCGTCGTGTTTTTTGGTGTAAGATTATCCAGGATGCGGTCCCCAGCTGGAAAAATGCGCATTCCCAGCGATGCCAAATAACAGGCGGGTCCAGACCCTGACAGGCGGGCCGGGCTGGCACAACCACGATTCTCGGGTAAATTCCACGGTTCGATTTAAAATCGAACGATGTGTTCTTCGCATTCGGGGAAGAACTGACCACAACTGTTTATTGGGATGCGCTCCCTCCCCAAACCCGTCGGCCTCTAACAATGGCCAGTGCCAACAACCCCCCAAATCCCTGCCACAACAAACAAACATGCCCTTTGCTGGAAAACCTGTCTTAGTCCGCCGCCCCACGACCATTTTTTATAGTGTGCTGCGACAGGGTCGGCGAGGGGGCCTCGAATTGCCCTGCGCGCGTAGGGCCACCATTGTCGCAAAACGGCTGCACAGTCTTCGTGGTGGCGGAATCTGGGGCCACGCGCGGGCGCTTCGCGAACAATGTTGCATGGGGTGCCCGACAAAAAGATAGTTACCAGCCTCGAACGTATCCCTATCCCTAAGACTGACACGCCAAACAGCGACGACAATCTTAGGGATTCGCCCTCAAAAAATAAGGGAATCCCTAAGATTGGCATCGTGATGAGGAGGTGCCCAGCATAGGGATAGGGTTAAGTTCCAGGCTGGTAAAATTAGCCAGTGCCCTGGCGCGCAGGGCGCACCTCGTGGGCGTCGCGCACCCGGCTTGCGCCTGCGTTGCTTCTCGAGGACCTGTCGGCGGCGTCCCCTGCCTATGCGGACACTGTGCTTCTACCGATGCGGTGAGAGGGCGAGTGGGGTTACCAGCCTGGAACATATCCCTATCCCTATGCTGGGCATCTCCTGATCACGATGCCAATCTTAGGGATTCCCTTATTTGTTGAGGGCGCATCCCTAGGATTGTCATCGCCTTCTGGCGTGCCAGTCTTGAGGATAGGGATACGTTCGAGGCCGGTAATGGGGGGCGAGCGAGACGGCCGTCCGCCCTTCGATGGGCCACCTCCGAGGGGCCCCAAGACGGCGACGAGATGGCCAGACGTGCACTTCGGAGCCTCCCAGAGAACCCTCCAGGCTGTCTAGTCAACGCCCGGGGCCGTTCAGCAAACGCCAAATATTGGGTCCGGGCGGTTCTTCTTCCCTTGCCACTGGAAGTGTATCGGATCGTCGCAGCAAGGCTTCTGGTCCCGATGCGTGCTCACTTGGTGGCAGTGCCCCCACCAGCGCCGGTAGCCGCCCTCGCGATTCGCGACGGCTCGCGCGACTCTGGCGCCGCAAGGGCGAGCTGGAGAAGGCGGCATCGCCACAGAATCACTGCACGGCCGAGCGATGAGGGATGGAGTGAGGCGGGTAGGGGGAGGAAGAGGAGAAGCCTTGTACTACTTGTCTTTACACTGCACCCCCTCAGAATGACTTCGTGAGCTCCTCGGCCCTGGCTCGCCGCTGCCAACGCCCCTCTCCCTCCCTCCTCCCATCCCCCACCTCCCCTCCCTCTCTCCCCACCTTCCACTCCCACTGCACTGTTCTCGGAGCTCCTTGGTGCCCGTGCAGAGTCTTGAGTCTGACGAATGTTTTGCGAATTGCGTGCAGGCTTCTGCTGACAGGCTCCAAGCTTCATTAGAGTCCTGATCATACATATCCCTCTCGTTATCCTTATCTCTCTCCCTTACTATGCTTACGCGTGTTTATCGTTATATACTTGTTGCTCTCATCCTTTCTCTATATCTCTCGTTCGTTCTCCATCTCCCTCTCTCTCGGTCTCTCGCTCTTTCTTTCTTTCTCTCTCTCTCTCTCTATATATATATATCTCTCTATGTGTTGCTCTCTGTCGCTCTCGCTCTCTCTCTCTCTCTATGTGTGTGTGTATGTTCTCTCTGTCACTCTCTGTGTATGTGTATGCACGTGTATATATATATATACGTATACACAGATTATATACGCATGTGTATATAATTATACGCTCCTCCCCGAGCGATTAATTGTGAAGCCACATTTATGTGTTCTGTCCGGTTCCCTCGGGACACCCTCCGCATTCTGAACATCGGACGCGCGCCTCACGCAGATCACGACGTCAAGATCGAAAAGCACGATGGCCATTCAACTTCATCAAATAAAGCGTTAACACGCCTGATGGAATTCAGCCTGATGATCAGAAGCTTGCAGCTTCGCCTGAGCCATTCTTCAAAAGTTGAGCCTCTTTTTCAGCATGATGATGAGAACAATGCCTTTTCGCCTGAGCCACCCTCCCACCACCGAACCCCGGCGTGCAACACACACACACACATACAGATGTACACAGAACACACACACCGCACAACAATTTCACACGCAGCACACGCAAACACACACAACACCTGCACCACACATAACACACATAACACACATACACTCACACACACATAACGCACACACACACGACATGCACCCAACACCCAACACAAGCAACACACACAACGCACACACAACACACCAAACACACATCACACGCATAACACCCATAAACCAAGCATATCTCACACAACACGCAACAAACGCACACAATACACAACAGACATAACACACACATGGACATACACACGCACACACCCTACACAGCACGCACACACATTCTGCACATGTGTTTGTATGAACCTGGGCACGTACGTGCCACTTGCATCACTCTTCTCTTTTTGTCTCTCTCTCTCTCTCTCTCTCTCTGCGGGGGGGGCACGCTTTAACCGCTTGCTCCCATTCTACGGATTTGCTTCTTCGAAAGACGGGGGCAACGTAAAGGCGACCTCTGGCAAAGATAAGTCTCTGAATTTCCGAGAGCTGGCGGATCGCCGCTGCCGCTCCACAGCGCCCCGTGGCGACCTGGGAAAACTGAAGCGTAGTCATCCAAAGACTGCATGCCCCCTGTCCTCCTCTCGTTCCTCTCGTCCCACCCGCGCGCCCGCCCGCCCTGCAAGGCAACCAGGCCAGCCACAGCTTGGGGAGCTCTGTTCCGCACCTCCCTTGGGGCACCAACCGTGCAGACGATCTCCCGCGAGGGACCTGTGCAGACGATCTCCCGCGAGGGGCGCCGAATCCGATGGGCCCCCTGGGGGTTGAGCAGGGACCGACCGTCCCGGCATTCCTATAGTCCTATCACGAAATGTTCTTAGAACCCAAAAACTTGCAAAGAACAACAACAACGTTCTTAGAACATTAACCCGATGTCTTAAACCAAGACAGTCCCAGCCAGAAATGTTCTAAGAACACTTCGTGGGAACGACAAAAGGTTCTTCAAACATTGTCTGGTAGGGCTATAGGCGAGCCAGGACGCTTCGACACTGCTTGACCCTGGGGGGCGTGCGGACCACAGCTCCCCCGGCTGCGGCTCGTCTGGCAGCGCGGCGACAGCAGAACGGACGACCGCAGGGCTCCGAGGCGGCCGCCGGCGCTCTTGCTGGGCCACGGGAGGCCCCCCTGCTGGCGCGGGATGCCGAAGCTGCCACCGCCCGGGTGCTGCTGCTGGGCGGCACGGGGGGGGGGGTGCACGGAGGCGGAGACGTCAGGGGGTTACTGCTGGAGGCCTGCGCTCCTCCACCTCCTCCCCCTCCTCCCACTCCTCCCCCTCCTCCTCCTCCTCCTCCTCCTCCTCCTCCCTCCCTCCTCCTCCTCCTCCCTCCTCCTCCTCCTCCTCCTCCTCCTCCTCCTCCTCCTCCTCCTCCTCCTCCTCCTCTCCTCCTCCTCCTCCCTCCTCCTCCTCCTCCTCCTCCTCCTCCTCCTCCTCCTCCTCCTCCTCCTCCTCCTCCTCCTCCTCCTCCTCCTCCTCCTCCCTCCTCCTCCTCCTCCTCCTCCTCCTCCTCCTCCTCCTCCTCCTCCTCCTCCTCCTCCTCTCCTCCCCTCCTCCTCCTCCTCTCCTCCTTCCTCTCCTCCTCCTCCTCCTCCTCCTCCTCCTCCTCCTCCTCCTCCCTCTCCTCCTCCTCCTCGTCCTCCTCCTCCTCGTCCTCCTTCTTCTCCTCCTCCTCCTCCTCCTTCTCCTTCTCCTCGTCCGCCTCCCAGGGGGCCACTGCTGTAGGCCTTCGCAACAAAAACTTCGGGCTGCTCTGCCCGATCAAGTCAGCGCTCCTCTAACGAGGACTCCACTGTAACGGGTACTTTGGCCAGTTGGCCCGGCAAACCCAACCCTCCTCGAGGTGGGCAACGCTGCAATGTCAGAAAGAGGCCCCAACGTGGCAACTTTCGGCAACTCTCAAGAGTACCCGTTAGTGAGTACGCGTTACGGTGCCGCTGATCAGGGCGGCCATCAGGCCGTCCTGATCAGGGCCAAGATTCCACCAGGAAGGAGGAGGGAGGAGGGAGGGAGGAGGGAAGAGGGAGGAGGGAGGGAGGAAGGAGGGAGGAGGGAGGAGGGAGGAGGGAGGAGGGAGGAGGAGGAGGAGGACCAGGAGGAGGAGGAGGAGGAGGAGGAGGAGGAGGAGGAAGAGGAGGATTGGGAGGTTTCGAGCGGGGTTGGGCGAGATTGAGCTGGATCACGGCCAGTCTTCGACCGCGGATACGGCCGGGACCTCTTGCTCAGGGTGTGGCCACGGCTGCCCCAGCAGCGCGCAACGCCGTGCGCGTGGATAGCGTCTCGCTCCGCTCCCTGGGGCGGGGGGCTGGGGACGGCTCGGGACGTTGACGCTCGGAGGCGCGGACGTGGATGGCGTGTCGGTCCGTAGCGTGGTGGGCCAGCACCAGCGGAGCGACACGCTATCCAAGCGTTTTCGACTGTACAGTCGGAGCTAGGCCAGACTAACATCCTTCAAGAACATGAGACCCTCCGCCAGCAAAAGCACCCCCAAACCATACGATCATTCGAGGGTGCCCTCGCCAAGGATGCGCATTAATATCCCACCAGCGCGTAGATCACGAGGGCACCCTTCCCGAACCGACCTCGATCTTATACCTCGGTCCGACTGTATACCAGCGCCGATGCTGCCTTTAACTTCCCAGGCCTTGCATCCTTGCCGGCAGAGGCGGGCAGGAGAGCCCATAATCGGATCGAGAAGTCGGATCGGCGATCGAAATGGATCGGATCGGCGGGAATCGGCAGCGGGGTCGAGAGAAGTCGAATCGGTGGAGATCGGCAGGCTGGTCTGCGTCCAACAAGAAATCGGAGCCCAAATCGGAATCCCAGGTCGAATCGAATCGGATTCGGAAGCCATCGAAATCGAATCGAATCGCTTCGGAGGAACCGAAATGAGCCCTGGGCGGACACCATGGCGGAGCACGGACACCCAACGCCGCGACGCGCACGGCCGCATCCTCGCAGCCTCGCCCATGTCCCCTGGAGAGCTGTGCGGGGGCAGTGCTCGGGCCCTCGGCCGCGGAGCGCGAGGCGCGGGAGATCTCCACGGCGGCGGCAAAAGGGGAGCTAACAATGACGTAAACAGAACAACTCGGAGGTTCGCGCGGCTTTCTCGGATCGGCGCTGTGGCCCCCTGGCGGTGCCTCCGGCGCCGCCCCAAGGGGTGTCCAGCACGGATCCGAGAAATCCGCGCGGACCTCCGGGTGTAGATGTTCATGTCACTCTTCGTTCCCCTAGGCAAGGCCAACATCTGGCGCAAACGTTCTAGCATCGCGTAGGTCCGGGACGAACCCCTGCACGCCGCTTCACCGCAGAGGCGCTGATCTGAACGTAAGGCGCGAGGTCATACCTGGCGCCCCCGGTGCGGGCAGTACTTATATCCATATCCAGAGCGTCGTGGACTTTTTGGGAAGAGGTGCCGCAACGCCGAGGCGCACTGGATATGGATAAAATCAAGCCTCTTGGGGCCAGATGTTTATCCATACCCAGTGCGTCTACGGCTTCTGGGGGAGAGAGCCCAAGAATCCAAGACGCACTGGATGTGGATATAACTATTGCCCGCACCCGGGGGCACCTGCCCAGGGACACCTCCGGCAAAACCCGACCACGGCGGCGGCAGGCACGGTCGGGCACTCCCTCGCCATCGCTCGGACGTCCATTCCCCGTGTTTTTTCGGTTTCGTGCGTGGCCTTTTCCCCAAATGATCAAGGATGCTCCTCGATGGTCCTCGCCGAAGAAAAAATGCACACGTCCGAGCGATGCCAGGCTCCTGCTGCGCGTGCCGCGGCGGCGGCCCCGGCGGCACGCTGCGACCTGCGAGCGAGTGTGGCGCAGGGCTCCGCTCCGCGGGGCGGGGGCTGCGAAACGCTCGGGACGTGGACGCCTGGGCACCAAGACGTGGATTGAGCAGGGACCCGCCGTCCCATGCAGTCCTGGCACGAAACGTTCTTAGAATCCCCTTAATGTTCTCATAACCAGAGCAGCGCTCTTAGAACATAGGCCCGATGTGTCAAAACAAAACAGTCTCAGCCAGAAATGCAAACATTCGTTGGTTGGCCTATAGGCGAGCTAGGAGGCTTCGCCACTGCTTGCGTGGACAGCGTGTCGCATCGAGGCGCGGTGGGCTGGCACCGCCGGAGCGAGGTGCTATAGCAGAAAGCTCCCGGCCAAAGGGGGGGCGTCCAAGGGGGGGCGTCCAAGAGGGAAAGAAGAAGGACATAAACATACAAAAACTCGAAGGTCCACGCGGATTTCTCGGATCGGCGTTGGGGCCCCCTGGCGGCGCCGCCGACGCCGCCCCTGGCGCGCTCCGTGCGCCAGGGAATGGGGTCCAGCGCGGATCCGAGAAATCCGCGCGGACCTCCGAGTTTCTATGTTAATGTAATTGTCCGTTCCCCTAAACAGGGGTGGGGGCGCAAATCATGACCGGCGGCATGTGCGCGCCCCCCGCAGGGGCCGAGGGGTGCATTCAAACAAGAAGAGGCGCCATGTGGTCTGGGGGGATATAAGGGCCCTGGCCACGATATCAACCCCCTCCTGCAGTGGAGGCCCGACCACGAGAAACCTTCCACAAGGAACCCAGCCCTGAGGCCCTAGGTCCATGGATCCCTGGCGTGGGAGAGCTATGCCCCCCCACAGCAAAATCACAGCAGAGACCCAAGAAACCCAGGGCACCCTGGAGGCAAGCAGGGCGTTTCTTGGCCTGGGTCTACACTGTAAGACGCCGCCCCGAAGCGTCTTCCAGGACGAAGGGTCGCTCGGCCAGGGGCGGGGGCGGGGGCGGGGTTTCGGCCTGGGCTTGGCCTGGTGACGGCGCTGCTTCGTGGCCCTGGAACAAGCCAGTGGGCGGCAAAAGCTCAGCCAGCACCTGCCAAGAGCGGGCTCACGGCGATGTGGCTGAACAGTGATGTTGGGAACCAAACTTCAAGAAAGCACGAACCACACTTTCTTACACTTCCTGTCTGCGAAAGGATTGCGAACACGACACAGCGAACACGACACAGCGAATTGCAGGAACGCGCGGCGCGAGCCACGCATTCCCACACTACCGAAACCTACACCGCCGCTGCCTACATCGCCGTTCGCCTCTCTACTGCGGGGACAGCGGCCCCCGAGAGACGACCAAGAGGGGCTAAACAATGGAAGGTCGGCGGGGCCACGGTGGACCCTCCACCCCAAGCTGGCACCCGAGACCGCAATGCCATGCCGCACCCAAGAGGCCCCCGAAATCTCCCAAGAGGCTTCCAGGAGACCCCCCCGAGGTACCCCCGAGAAGCCCCCAAAGTGCACCCGAGAGCTTGCTCGACACAACACACCTCGCGGGCAACATTTACATCGAAGACGGGTCGCCGAAGTGCGCCAGCAAATGAATGGTGCCAGGAGCCCCCAAAGAAGCTTCTAAGAGGCCTCCAAGAGGACCTCCCAGACGCATCCAGGGGGCCTCCCATACGGTCAGAAACTTTGCGTAGTGAACGTGACGCAACAGCGGCGAGGGGAAGACCGAACGGACATGAACGGATGGGCGAGGCGGCCACGTGCGCCCCATTCCGAGACGTCTGGATCCCAACACAAGTTGCCATCGCCGCCTTTTTGTCAGCGGCGAGCTCGGGTGGAGAACGAGAAGGGGCAGGCCTCTTCGGAAGGTTCGGATGTCCCCGGCCCCTCCGAGAGGCTTCCGAGCCTTCCCCGAAGACGCAGGGGACCTCTTGGAGGGTGCGGGGGCTTCTGAGAAGGCCCGCCGCTCTCTGAGAAGGCCTTCCCTTGGGCGCGCCGCCGATTGTCTGTCCAAATCGGTCCCCGGATCCATCCCGGGGTCCATCCGACGCGGCTTCTCACCCCGGATCGAGTTCGGGCGGCCTCACGAGGCCGAAAACGATGATCAACCGCCTCCAACCTCGAACCTCCCCCCCCCCCCTCCCTCGCCGCCGACGCTTTACCTCCGTCGCCTGCCACCTGCCTTCCTCTGGCGGAGCCGCCCTCGTTCTGCCCCCGCGGGCCTCCGCCCGCCCCCCGCCGAGGCAGGGGAGGCAGACCCCGTCGATGCACCCTCGAGGGCGTGGCCCTGCCTGGAGCGCCCCACGAGAAGTGTTTCCACATCTCTCGCCCAGGCTGATGGGCCACGTTTCCACCACCACTGCCAGATGCAAGACGGGGGAGAAGGGAGGATTGGGAGGTCCCTTTCCTCCTCCTCCTCCTCCTCCTCCTCATTCTCCTCCTCTTCCACCTCCTCTTTCTCCTCCTCTTTCTCCTCCTCTTTCTCTTCCTCTTCCTCCTCTTCTTCCTCCTCCTTCTCCTCCTCCTCCTCCTCCTCCTCCGCGTCCTCCAACTCCTACCCCTCCCGCTCCGACCTATGGTAGTGGTAATGGAACGCCGGCCCATCATAGACCAGCCACTGCAGGCGTACCCAGCCTCCTGGCAACGAGCGGCGGTTGCGGAAGCGGCAGGTCTGGGCGAGCGGAGCGCAACACCTCTGGCACCACCAGGAGCAGCCGGACAGGACCGGGCGGCCTCGAGGCGACCAGGGCAGCCAGAGCAGAGGGTGGCCAGCACTGGGAATCGACAGCGGATGTTGTCCTCCTTCGAGTTCGAGGTCCCGACCCCTGAGGCCGCACCGAGCACCCTCCCCAATCCGTCGACCGACGAGATGGCGCGCAAGATCTAAGGAGCTCATTGAGGGAGCTGAGGGGGAGGCGAACTGCATTCCTCACAGCAGCCTGCAACTCATCAACTTCTTCCGCCGCACTGCGCTAACCTTCTGCTCGCGGGCCGGCCGCCACAATACTTCCAACATCTTAGCTGTCCTTCCGACCGCGGCGAGAGAAGCCGAATGCGACGTCATGACTGACATGCCCAAAATATCACGCTGGCAGTCTGGTCGGAGGAGTGAAGGGGAAGCGGAAGGGGATGCGCGGCGATCTCTCTGAGGACGAACGCCGCCAAGAGCACGATCGGGCGACATGCGACCGCGGGCCACTCGGCGGAGCTTTGCATTCTCATCTTCCCGCTCCTCCTTCAGGTCTTGTCCCTCCTCCCTCTGCTCCTCCTCCTCCTCCTCCTCCTCCTCCTCCTCCCGCTCTATCTTCTCTCAACGCCTCCTCCTGCTTCTCTTCCCCCTCCACCTCTTCCCAACCCTTGTGGATCGGCTGCGTCGTTGGAAGCGCAGCGTTGACAGCGTGGACGACGCGCGCGACAGTTCGACATGTTCGCGCGTACACGAAAACATGCGGAGCAGACAGAAAGAGAGAGAGAGAGAGGGAGGGACAGCACGGGCGTCCGCTGCCTTGTAACCTACCGGTGGCTGCCGCCACATCGCTGCAAAGGCGGCCGCCTCAGAGATGGGATAGACGAGGAGACGTGCTGGCATTACCAAAAAACACCCTCCTCCTGCTCGCGATCGTTTCTCAAAAATGGCGGTACGCGCTTAGATGCCCATGTGCTGTGCACGCGGTGTTTCCCATTGCTCTGTGTGTGCCGCGTGTGTATGCGTATCTGTATGTATGCACGTACGTACGTATGCATGCATGTATGCATGCATACATGTATGCAAGCATGTATGTATGTATGTATGTATGTATGTATGTATGTATGTATGTATGTATGTATGTGTGTATGTATGTACGTACGTACGTACGCACGCACGTACGTACGTGTATGTATGTGTGTGTGCGCATGTATGTATACATGCATGCATGTATGTATGCATGTATGTATGTATGTATGTATGTAACTGTGTATGTATGTCTGTCTGTCTGTCTGTATGTATGTCTGTATGTATGCATGTATGCATGTATGTATATAGGTATGCATGCATGTGTGTATGTGTGTACGGATGCACGCACGTATTCATGTATACAGATGTGCATGCATGTATGCATGCATGCATGCATGTATATGTGTATGCATGAACGTATGCATGTATGTGTGCATGTAGGTTTGAATGACTGTATGTTCGCAGGTGTGTCTGCATATATGGCTGCGTGTATGTGTGTGGATGCGTGTATGTGTATATATGTATGTGTACGTGCATACATGTATATATGCATATACGGGCGTGCGTGCGTAGGTAGGTCGGTTAGTAGGTGAGCAGGTAGGTATGTAGGTAGGTAGGTCCGTTGGTTGGTAGGTGTGGGTGTATGTGTAGGCATGAGTCCACATGTATGTATGTGTGTATGCATGCACGTATGTATGTATGCATGCATGATGTTTGTTTGTTTGTGTGGGGGGGTCTGTGACTGTGTGTGCGTCTGTCTTGGGGAGGGGTCGGACTGACGACGTTATTGCTTGGCACGAACCCGCCTGTGCTGGGAAAAGCCCCGCGGCGGGCTCGCTCACGCGCGGGCACCCTGGCTCGGCTGGTCGGCCGCGCGCTGGCCGATCCGGTTCCGTCTCTCGCCCGCGTCGTGCGGTCCCCGGCGGTGTGGCGCCGTGTCGTGCTTCTTCCGCCTGGCACTGGGGCGGGGCACAAATACCGTGCCGTGTCTGGGGCTTCGACCCATGGCCTCACGCTGGGGGCCCTGCAACCTTGTCACGGTCCATAGTGGCCTGGTGCGTTCGCTCGGCCACTGGGGCCCCTGTCTGGCCCATTGTGACCACGTGCTTTCGCTGGCCAGCACGACCCGCTCTGGACGGGGTGGGGGTGGTGCTTCCCCACGGGCCCGACTGGCGTCTGCCCGCTTGGCCTCGGAGAGGCCGCGCGCTGCGGGGCAGTCGGGTCGGTTCCGCACCCTCCGCTCCTGGGGGGTACTTCCTCCCTCCCAGGGTGCCGTTCGAGGCGAGCGCAAGCGCAAGGACTTGTTTGTGGTATGCGCGCGTGCGCGCTGTGCTGCTGCTGCATGTGCGGTTGTTTGCCGGGTCTACTTCTCCTGCACCGCAGGGTGATGTCGACCCCGAGCCGCCACTGCGCGTATCTGGGCAGCATCGCTGCACCACGCCTGTTCGCAAGGGGCTCGTTTCGACGCAAGTGCGACCCGTTGCACCGCTCGGCCGATCGGCCTCCCCCCCGTCGCGTCGGAGGAGAACTGTCCGTGGAGCACGCGTGCTGCATCACGACGGCGAGGTGCAAGAGGTGCAGCGCTCGTGCGGCCCCTGCTCGTTCCTGCCTCCCGCTGCGACTATGCCCCGTGGGCGGGGCAGGGGGGGGACTGGGAGCAGGACACGGAGGAAGTGGAGGAGGGCTGGGACGACGACGACGACGACGACGACGGCGGCGACGATGACGGCGGCGACGGCGGCGACGACTACGACGACGGCGACGATGTCGACGGAGGCGGCGGCGCCCACCTCACAGAGGGGCCCGCCGCAACCAGCGCCAGCGACGCCAGAACCGAGGAGCACCCCAAGAGTAGCAAACGAATGCCGCGGCGCGGTTGCGAGCACCACGTTGTGTTCACGAGCACCACGCGGCGACGGAAGCCGCAACCGGACAACACCGCAACAGCTTGCGATGGCCACACACGTGTGCGAGACATTACGCTTGATCCTGCAAAAGACACAACGACCGCCCGCAAGCGCCACAACCGCGCTAGTACCAGCAGTCAGCCTGTCAACGAAACAATATCGTGCGAGCGCCGCAATCGATCGCAAACGGACAATTGCTGTTGAGCCCAATGGCCTGCGACGACCACGCAGGCGCTACGGCCACACTTAGCTACGAGGGTGCAGCGCGCGCGTGCGCTGCGGCATTGTTCCGGCGCAGCGAGGGCAGGGTGGAGGAGGAGAGGGAGGAGGAGGAGGAGGAGGAGGAGGAGGAGGAGGAGGAGGAGGAGGAGGAGGAGGAGGAGGAGGAGGAGGAGGAGGAGGAGGAGGGAGGGGAGGGGGCGGACCATGACCCCCGTCACGGACCGCCGACTGCAACGCATCCGCCGCCGCACCCGCCGCATCACCACCATCGCGCCCCACGCTCCGCTTGGAGCTGGGGGGGGGGAGGAGGTGGAGGAGGAGGACGAGGAGGAGGAAGAAGAGGAAGAGGAAGAGGAGGAGGAGGGGCGGCGCAAACACTGAACGTCACCGAAGGCAAAGAAAAGTGGCCCGTCCTGCCAAGGCCGTATAGGCCCGCTTCGGGCCCGGATCTCTGGCTTGCTCCCAAACGTTGATGGTTCCTGGCGTGGCCTAGTCTGTGGAGGCTCGTGGGTGCCGGTGGGTTTGTCTTCACATTCCTCTCCGAACCCAATCCAACCAACATTTCTCCGACTGCACTTCAAACCAATGTCAGACTGACAGAGAGAAGACAGCTCCCAATACGCCCGAAAAGGGCGGCCGCGCGCGGGGCCGGGACTGGGCGCCGGGGCGCCAGTCACTTAGCCTTCAGAGGTTTACAATTGTCCAACTCGTTCCCACTCTGATGCATTTTCTGCATCTTTCATCCAGTCACTTCCATCACAACTGTGTTTCAAGCCTGCCGCGGTGAGATCTTCGGACCACCTCCGCTTTGCCTGTATCTCCGCGTCCCACTGCAACGCTGCATTGCTCAATTAATGTCCGTCTGACGCAACATGTTGCCATGCCACAGTCAATGTGTGCCGTCGTTGCATAACCACCCACCCCCTGTACCCATGAGCTTCCATATGCTGCGTAGCGTAATGTGTAGATTGCTGTACCCAGTCGTGTCAGCGTTCGCGTTTGCTGGATTTCTCTCTCGAGCTCGATGAGGTATTTGAGTCGGTACTGCTGCTGCTCGTCGAGCCGGCGTCAGAACATTCACTTTGATCTTCGCCGGAATCAAGTACGTGGTCCCCGTGGCTGTCGTTCATCTCCGCACGTCGTCTGGAAACCCGAAAAATCGTTCGAAGCATTTTTCTCTGGGTGCGCGTATTTGTTGTTCAGGGCTTGTTTGTAGAATCCAACACGCAGGTCCATAGAAGAAAGTTGGGATCACCGTTCCTTTGAACAGACGAAGCTGGTCGCATAGAGAAAAAAAACAGCCGCAGATGTCCTACACGTTCTGGTCATTGGATTTCCGGTGAGGGGTCTACGCTGTAACGAATCGTGCCCGTAACCGGGAACACTTGATATCCACAAAAGCGATGCGCTCGCTCACAGGAACAAGCTGAGGCACGCATGTTGCTCATTTGTTGAGCAAGAGTCCTCCCGCTCCATGCTTGTATGTCGTTCCCCCTGCTCCCATGAACACGTGTCCATCGGTGACGTCCCACATTTCGTGATGAGTCGGCCGCGTTGTCTCGTTAATTGTAACCACATCCCGATCAGTATTCCCCAACTCCTGCAGCAGCTCAGTCACTCGAGCGTCGTCAGTGAGCCCTTGAACGTTCTTGCGAACGATTGTGATCAAGTGTTTGTGTATTGTGGGGGTGGGTCGGTCGAGTAATCTCGATGAGAAGGTCAACTAGGATCCATAAGACAAGGAGGCACATCCACAAACAATTCAACGTAAGCTCCTCCACCTCGTCCTCCTCTACTGCTTACTGGGCCATGTGGCCCAGGCCCCAAAACATACTCCGGAGCCCTTAAATGAAACTTCTTGGTGGTATCCAAAACTTGAATAGTGCCTGGATAACTGTCCGTGCTTGGTTCCTGGTAGCTTGTAACTTCCCACTTCCTCATGGCCTCCTTAATCCATTGTTTCGCCGCTTTTGCCGTGCCGAATGCCATTGGTAACGTACCCGAACACCTTTTTGTTTTCCACAATAACCATGGCCAGCTGCCACAATATCTTGACGTCCTCCATCTTCGCTTTCTCCTCGTTGGTGCTGTGATGTTTCGTGTCGCCACGGCGCTTCTCAATAGCTCAATAGCACGCTCCTCGCACGTTCGATTGATCCGAGACTGCATCCCGTCCTTGTCAACACTGTCGCCGTCAGACTGCAGTTTTTTGAAAAAGGATATTTTGTCAAGTACGGTGCGGAAACTGATAATCCCCAAGGTCGGGTTGGCCTCCGTCGTGACTCTGACATCCGGGTCCTTCCCAAGCAATTGTGTCACAATGCCCTCGATATTTGATATGATGTCCCTCGGTGGCAGCTTGTCCGTGAAGCCGATCACGGCAACCCGCTTGTTTCCGTCGTTCACGTCGCAGTCCTGCTCCTGCCCTCGAGGAGTCCTCATCATTATTGAGTTAATCCTGGGATGTCGTTGGCTGCCCGTCCCTTCCTTCATTGAGACTTTTACGATGTTTGGCAAATCCCCTCTTGTGAAAGCACTCTCCCGTATCTTGGCCATATCCTCCTTGACCCCTTCTACCGTTTGCTCGGCCTTAGTCGCTGCGAGTTTAGCTTCCAGCTCGATCTCCTTAGCCCCCTCCGTCTCCTTCTTACTGTCTTGCATATCCTTCCTCATTCCCTCATCATGTCCATTATCGGCTTCATCATATCCTGCATACCCATCTCCTTTATCCTTTCCCCCATCTTCGATGCCCAAATCGTCATCTTTATCGGCATCGTCGTCGTTCATCCTGTCTTTGGGTGTCAGCCCGGAATCGGAAGCCACCTCCACATTAGCAAACTTCTTGTCGGGAGCTTTCTGGGTTGCTGCCAGTCGGCTCGACCTTCCGACCTTCTCCTCCCGCAATCGACGCTGCCATGCTGCCCTACTGGAAAAGATTCCCTGAAGGAAGCTTCAGCGAATGCTTGAGTCGGGTCGGGCGAAAGGGGGGGATAGCAAAGGGGGGGGGTGAAAATCAGCTCACGTAGCTGATTTTCCCGGCGCCTCCCGGCGCCGGGAGGCGCCGGGAGGCGGCCATGTATCAAGGAATGGGCCCCTTCGGTGGGGCCGAAACCAGCTGCATGCAGCAGATTTCGTAAACCCCCCCCTTCCCAATCCCCCCCTTTCGTCCGGCCCGAAATGCTTGAGTGAGGGAGCTTGAGTGAGCGAATGCTTGAGCCGAAATGGCTTGAGCCAACATGGCTACGGCAAGAGGCCCATTTCAGTCACCAGGCCCAGTCTGGGCGCGTCCGGCCCGAAGCTTATAATGCACATCTGACCAAACCTGGCAGGGATTCCAAAAAACGACGACGACGACGAAAAAGACGACGACGATGACGACGACGACGAAGACGACGACGAACACACGAAAAGAATGATGACGACGACGAAAACGACGACGACGACGACGTCGACGACGACGGCGACGACGACGACGACGACGACGACGACGACTCGGCGGAAGGGCGGCCCGCCTCCATGAGCGCCGGCCCAAGCGCGGCCTGGCCACGGCGCCGACGCGGCGACCGGGGCGCTGCTGCGCGACTGCCGCGGGCCCCCTGCTGCGAGCGGCCGAGCCGGAGAAACTGCGGCGGACCCAAACATGATCGCGTCGTAAAGAAATTAGGACGGACATTTTTTGCTATTTTCAGCCCGGGGGGCCCTCGCCAGACCTCGGGACCGTCAAGAAAACGACTCAGGACGAAAAACCGGTCCCGGGGAAAGGGTCGGGACTTCCAGGGACGCCGCCCTGAAAAAATCAGGACGTCGCATGTCTGGCGAGTCCCCAGATCAAAGACGAAGCCAGGAAGATGATGAAATCGGGTGAGGAGTGAAGTCGGGAATCTCTGGGATCTGGCGGCTCTGGTGAAGTCGGGAATCTCTGGGATCTGGCGCCGCGGCCTTCTCAGAGCTTCCCAGCACGCTCCGAGAGTTGCGGAACGCCCTGGAACGAACGGCTTTCTCCTCGCCATAGCCCCATCAGAAGATCTCCAATCATGTTTTTATACTTGATTCGAATATGGGCGTTGTTCCTCTCCCTTGATCTTTCGCTCTTCTGGCAGTGCATTGGGGCGGGACGTGGGATGAGCATGAGCAGCCCCCTTCTGCGGCGCGCGCCACGCCGCACAGCGAGGAGGCAACCCCGAGCCGGAATCAGCGGTTGTTGCTCGTTTTCGGCCTCGGGGGGCCGCTCATGGGCCCCAGCGATGCTCTGGTGATCTTGGCTCACTGTCTGCGGATCAAATGTTTGTTACGGTGGGAGCATTGGATAAGGAACCGTGAGATAAGGAATCCAGGGTCTGAAGGCCCGTGGAACTCCAATCGAAGGTTGGTCATGGATATCACCGCCGCCCACATCGGATAAGGAATCCTCCAGGGTCTAAGCCTCCTGGGCGCATTCTTTAATGAATGCCCCCACCGTGATCTGGTGATCTTGACTCACTGTCTGTGGATCAAATTTTTGTTGTTCCACATCACGCGCGTTATGTGGTTGGGTGGGTGGGGTCGCTGGCACCTAATATAACGCTGCCGCGCCCGGCCGCTCGACTGGCTGTAAACACACATGCTGATGCAGCAGGTTATGCGCGCACCACATCGCGCCTGTACACCACAGCGATTGGCGCATGGCGGTGCTTTGCGTATTCGTTCAGACTCTACTTGCTAGATCGACCATAGTGTAGCAGGAAGGCAGTTCCTGTCGAGACGCTGCTCTAGGTATTGCACGCAGCATTATGTGCTCTCAGGTGCAGTGGTCGTGCCCAGAAAAGAGCGAGTCACACCAAATCTGTGGCTGCACACCTGGGGCCATCGGAAGTTGATATCCAGACTACCCATGGGAGGGAGGTCGGGATGTCTGTCTTGCCGTCGCCAGGACGTCCATTTCCCGTGCATTGTTCGATTTCGTGCGTGTTTTTTTTTGCTCGATGGTCCAGGATGGTCCTCGATGGTTCTCGCCGAGGAAAAAATGCACACGTCCGAGCGATGCCAAGCTGTGGTTTCTTGGGCCCTCGGGGCCGCAGGAAGGAGGACGGCTGGAGGTCGATTGGGCGCAGCCTCCGGCCCAGATTTCCGATGATCTGATTTTTTTCAATCTGGGCGTTCCTCCATGATGTCGGCATCTGGGGCGCATGGTCGGGCCCCAAGGGCTGCGAAACATGCTCCCGGAATGAATAACTAGCCCAGGGGAAGGGGTCAAGACCTCCGGGGCTGTGGGTTGAAAAATTATATCATCGGATGCCTGGGTACACGTGGTCGCATGGATACGCTCCGCGCAAAACATCCGCGAGTAAACGCTCCTTCTCCACGGGCTCGCGGCCAAAAAACCTGACCCGCGAGGTCGTGAATACGGACATGTTTCCCGCTCACAAAGCACGACAGGTTCGCGTTGTGACGACTTGCACGTTGCATTCAGACACCATGTGGATCGTGCAGCCTTGAACGGCCTGCGGCCTTTCGATGGCCCGCTCGGTCCATATTTTCCAATTTTGTTGTGAAAGCTGGGAGCACAGGCTGCGCCCTTCCCCGCACCCGCCTTCGCGGGCTGCCACCACAGAGAGCAAGAGCCAGCATGGTGGGACGACGGACCTGCGCATTGACGACGAGCACAACGATGCAAAGGGAAGGAGAGACAGCATATGTGAAGACGGGCGTGCCCTTTGCCGGCAAGCACAACGATGCGAAGGGATGGAGAGACAGCATTATTTGACGACGGACCTGCACTTTGCCGACGAGAACAGCGATGCGAATGGAGGGAAGGATGGAGGAAGGAGGCATCGCCAGACATGCTCGCATCGCGAACAAGAGCACGGCGGGAGGTTTCGGCCCTGGCCCCCTCGACAAGCTCCAGGACCGCAACAAGAGCGACCCAGGATGAAAAGCCGGCCACTGGGGGAGAGGGAAGGGTCAGGCCTGCCGGGGAAGCCGTGCTGGCCCCGGGGAAGAGGGGAGGGTCGGCAAGGGGTGGGACAGGAGCCCGCGTTGGGAAAAACATCAAGACGTGGCGTGTCTGGGGAGGGAGGCGGCGCTTTTTTGCAGGGCTGCTGCGGGAAAGTACAAGCTTGGCGGCAGCCCCCTCCACCTTATCGGCGGCGGCGAGCGAGGGGGGGGCGTGAGTAGGAGAAGGCCTTCTCAGAAGGCGGCGGGACTTCTCTGCAGCCATCGCGCTTTCTGACATTTTTTTTGCTGCCTTCGGGGAAGGCTTACAAAACCAATCAGAAGGCCGGGGAACTCCCCAACCTTCTGAGAAGGCTATCTCCTTCTCGCTCCCCGCCCTCGCTCGCGCCCGACTTGTGGCGCACGCTGGTCGCAGCGCTTTAACTGGACCGCCTGCTGCCAGATTTCGAACTACAAGTGCTCAGGACATGCACGCACGCGGCGCAGCAGGGAGGAAAGGGGGGGAGAGGAGGAGGAGGAGGAGGAGGAGGAGGAGGAGGAGGCAAGAAGCCAGCCGTGACGCTCCTGTCGCCCATAAAGTTGCCCCAACAGGCCGGGCAGGGCGAAACTACTCCGTCGTGCATGCTATTCAGGCGGCGTTGAACGTCGGAGGGCGGAACACGAACGAGAGAGCAAGGTGGAGGATGACAGGGGGTCAGGAAAAAGGTATGTCTATAGAGACGGCTATCACGACTGTAACGAATCGGGCCGTTGAAACCACGGCGCTTACAGGGCACCAAACGTGCTGATGGGCACGATGCATCCCCGCAGCCGCGCGTCCGAAACGGCAATCACACAGGGAGGCGGATGAGGAGGGCGGATCAAAATGGAATGAGAAGGAGGCAGGAAGAAGGGTAGGGACGGATGCGGAACATGAGTCACATGATGGTCACGAAAAGGCCGAGGTCGACAAGAACGCGGTCGAGACGGACGAGGAGATCCAGCACGAGGACGACGAGGAGGACGGGGAGGAGGATAAGGAGATGCAGAATAAGGCATACGCAGGGCGCAGGAGGGGCGAAGGCGGAGGGAGCGGGGAAGGACGAAGAAGCGAAGCTGACGAGGACCAGGCCGAATACCAGGAGTAGGGCGAGGAAGCCGACGAGGGCGAGGGCGAGGGCGAGGTCGAGAAGCAGAAGGTGCATGGAAGGAGGAGGAGGGGAGAAGGAGGAGGAGGAGGAGGAGGAGGAGGCGAGCGAAAGCGTAAACGGTTCAAAAACAGTGGTAGAAGGTAGGGGTGTGCAGGGACACGAAACCTTCGAAGATCAGCGCTCACGACTACATGCACCTGGACACGCCAGGTCCACACGCCCCCTCCGCAAACCGCCTCAGCAGCCGCTGCTCCTCCTTCGCCCGAAGCCCCGCCAGCTTCCGCAGCTCCTCCAGGAGCACGCCAACCGTACACACACAGCAGGGGCCCGACCACAGGGAACCTTCCACAAGAAACCCGGCCCCGAGACCCCGGCCCGTCCATGGATTCTTGGGGTGCGGACGTCACGCTCGCCGTCGCAACACCACCGAACCCCAAGAGACCCAGGCGCACCCTGGAGGCGAGCAGGGCGTGTCTTGGCACGGGCCCCCACTGCACGCCGACCCTGGCCAGGCCGCACCCTGAGCTCGGGGTCGGCGCACGTCGTGCAGGCCTCCCCGGCCAGGCCAGGAGGCGGCATGCACCGATCCTGGGCCCAGGACCCGCCCCTCCCACGGCGGGAAGCCCTGCCAAGGGACCGACGCCTCCAGCAGCACTGCGCCCCAGCCGCGCCCACGTGTACCGCGGCGAGCGCCAGAGGAAGGCCCCTGGAAACATCCACGGCACACCGACCCTGGGTCGGAGGAGGAGGAGGAGGAGGAGGAGGAGGAGGAGGAGGAGGAGGAGGAGGGGAGGCGGAGGCAGGAGGAGGAGTAGGAGGGAGGAGGAGGAGGAGGAGGCGGAGGAGTGGGAGGAGGAGGAGGAGGCGGAGGAGGAGGAGGAGGCGGAGGTGGAGGAGAAGGAGGAGGAGCAGGAGGAGGGAGGAGGAGGAGGAGGAGGCGGTGGAGGAGGAGGAGGGGAGAGCGGTCTGGGGGGGGGGGAGGGGAGGAGAGGAGGAGGAGGAGGAGGAGCAAGGAGGAGGAGGTAGGGGGTAGAGGAGGAGGGAGGAGGGAGGCGGAGGAGGAGGAGGAGGGGAGGAGGAGGAGGAGGAGGCGGAGGAGGAGGAGGAGGAGGAGGAGGAGGAGGAGAGGAGGAGGAGGAGGAGGAGCGAGGAGGAGGAGGCGGAGGAAGGAGGGGAGGAGGAGGAGGAGGAGGAGGAGGACGGGGGGGTGGGGGAGGGGAGCGAGGAGGAGGAGGAGGAGGCGGAGGAGGGGAGGAGGAGGAGGAGGGGAGGAGGAGAGAGGAGGAGGAGGAGGTAGGAGGAGGAAGGAGGCGGCGGAGGCAGGAGGAGGCGGAGGATGAGGAGGAAGGAGGAGGAGGCGGAGGAGGATGGAGGTTGGGGGGGAGGAGGAGGAGGAGGGGAGAGGAGGAGGAGGAGGAGGAGGAGGATGGTGGAGGAGGAGGAGGAGGAGGAGGAGG